TTGAGGAATTCTCCAATTTAAGCCCTAAAGATCAAGCAAATAAGATTAACGCGGCATTTCTAGACCCACTGAATGAGTATATTCTCCACTACCCAAATACCCTTTGGAAGAGTCTCCAGTTTTTCTCAATGTATCAGAATTATCAGTACAGAGAGTCTTATCAAAACTTAAGGTGAACAAAGCAGCTGGTCCAGATGAAATCCCTAACTGGCTTCTAAAGGAATATTCATTTATCCTTGCATTTCCTATTACCCTTATTCTCAACGCATCCTTTCGAGAGCAGTATGTTCCTTCCCTTTGGAAAAAGGCAGATGTTATTCCAATGCCAAAAATTAAGATTGTGAAACACCCGGAAAAAGATCTAAGACCGATTTCGCTTACTTCGTGCGTTTCTAAAGTGGCAGAAGAATTTGTGGTAAATAAATATGTAAAGCCAGCTGTACTAAAGGCGATTAATCGGAATCAATACGGCGTTATACCTGAATCATCTACAACAATGGCACTTATTAATATGTTACACCAATGGTACACTGGAACAGATGGAAATGGATCAGTTATTAGAACAATTCTTTTCGACTATCGGAAAGCCTTTGATTTCATAGACCATTCAATCCTGATCAAAAAGTGTCACAATTAGATATTCCCCACAGTGTCGTAAATTGGATTATGGATTTTCTTACCGATAGATTCCAGAGAATTAAGCTGGGAAATTCCTGCTTTTCGTCGTGGGACTCTGTTCCATCAGGCGTCCCTCAGGGCACAAAATTAGGTCCCTGGTTGTTTATTATTTTAATAAACGACTTACATATATCTCAAGGGGATCTATGGAAGTATGTTGACGACTCAACAACATCTGAGATAGTCGGGAAAAACGGCATTAGTAAAGCTCAGAGCCTAGTAAACGAAATGTCTTGCTGGTCTGAAAAAAACAGGATGCAACTAAACTCAGAGAAATGCAAAGAACTGCGCATTACGTTTTCCGCAAATCCCATTGATCTGGATCCCTTGGTTCTTAATGGTAAAGAATTAGAAGTCGTGGAAAGTATAAAGCTGTTGGGTCTCACTATAAACAGTAAATTGGAATGGAATGAGCACATCGCGGTTGTTGTTAAGAAAGTGAATAAAAGATTATACTTTCTCTCACAATTAAAACGTGCCAAAGTGAAATCGAAAGATTTAGCATTGTTTTACACTTCATGTATCAGATCTGTTGTTGATTATGCAATACCAGTATTCTATAACTCATTACCACAATATTTAAAGAATGAACTGATACGGTTGGAGAAAAGGGCAATTGCGATAATTATGCCCGATACGCATTACCTTGATGCTCTCAGATTGTTAAACATTAAATCCATGGAAAATCATCACGAATATTTATGTGACACTTTGTTCCAATCTGTAATGTCCGATGAAAATTACAAGATTCGTCACTTATTGCCTGGAAGATATGATCCAGGCTATCTTTTAAGGAATGTAAATAATTTTAACTTGCCTCTAATTAAAACTGAAAGGACCAAAAACTCTTTTATCTTTGCTATGTGCAACAGATTCAATAATAAAATTAAATAGGTTTAGGTCTACCTGACTTTTAGATTTTAACTGAATTTTATTCTGCTTTTTAAACTTTTTGATGTAAGTAATATCAGTAGTATCATAATTAATTTTAATACAAAGGTTGTAATCATTACGTAATTCAGCTTTTGCTGCAAAGTAATTTGAATAAACCTCTATTCTATTCTATTCCATTCTATTCTATTCTACACAACAAAGCTAGCATATAGGCATGGCGCAAAAGGCGGGCACGCGGACACGGACTCGCGGATAGTGACGGGTTCTTTTAGTATATATGCATGCATATATACTTGTCTTTTATACGTTTTTCTTCACAAATGCGTGGTATGTTTAGCTGAGGAGTTTATAATGTCATAATTTTACAGCTAACCCTGGACACTGTAAATTGAAAGGTTCATAATAAAAAAAGCTGGTATACAAATATAGATGAAGTTCCAATGGCAATGATAAAATTTCTGCAAATATTATAAGGTCCGCTTACACTAGCTTGCACTCATTGCGGCAATATTTGTCTTTTGATGGATGGAAACGAGCACTTATTGCCAAACAATAATTCCTTATAAAACCTTATTTCAATTTTCAATTTTCAGTTTCAATGAAACTGATCGACTCGATCTTTCGCATCTCATGCAGTATCAAAAAAGATTAGCATGTTAAAATGCATGCACAAAATCGCCTCCACAGCTATGGCATATAGTTTCAAAATACACAACCATTTACATCACAGAGCAATAAGATAATTTCCTTAAGAGGTTTGATACACAAAACATGATACACAATTTGCTTATCAGTAAAAATATTTATGAATATGCATGCTCATTACAATTAGCTATGTTATGGATAAAAATTTTTTTGTTTGCTTTATAAACCTTTTTTGTTTACGCCCATAAAGTAAAATTCTAAGACTCGATCGGCAACCAATTTAGTATTAGTACCAGTTTTGCTAGGTTGGCAGAGTGCCCGCGTGTAAATAATAGAATGACGATCTTACGAAGAGACAGAGTTCGAGTACTTTAATTACTTGTCATTGGTTATCTCGAGGCTTACATGCGACATTCTCGAAGCTTGACCTTTATTCTAAATATCGATAAGGGGAAAAATGCATAATGATGAATAAAGCCAAGGGCATATGCCGTATTGTTTCGTTGCACCGTATTTATCTCTCGACTCACTGAATTTTTTGATCAGCGGGTGCGGCGTCCACATCAGGGCGGCGTATATATATTGTAAATTTTTCAGCATTAAGTGTAAACTAAAAATGTCTTATTGGCTCCGTGCAGTTTATTGAAACTTTCAAATGCACATTTTAAACAGGGATATTAAGCATCTAAATGTTTGAATAAAGGATTGAAATCAGTATCTGTAAATGTGGCTATCAGGCATCATAATATAGCAAACCAAGCGTCAAAATCTGTCTAAATCCTGTCTGCTATCGATTAGGCATTTATTCTCGTGTGATGATGAAAAAAAAATTGGGGATCACTGAATTTGATGGCGATGTCAACACAGTGACCTCAATTATATTTGGGGTCGATATATCTGAGAATACATGCGGTATGGCATACCAATATGTGCTTCACAGATTGGTATGCCATAGGCCATACCGCGCTTTATTCTCATATATTTCGACCGGAGTTCCCGAAATATAACCGAAATTATACTTGCAGACTGGAACAGCCCTTGTTTAATTCGAATTTCTTTATCTGGAGCACTACTGTTTTGACGCATTTTAAAAAATGATATAAACTCGGTTTGATTTTGGCGGCAAAAAGTGAAGCCGTTTGGATATATCACGCCGTCATCCACGTCAGCCTGTTCAAAATGCGCATTTACCAAATTACAAGCTGTTCAGTCAACTTAGAAGGGAAATTCGAATTAATCACTTAATGATTGTGCGGTTGATTGGTATAGTTTAAAAAAAATGGAGTTTACGGCACGGGCTGAATAATACGACACGCCTACAGGTTTAAACCAAGGCGGCTTTAACGTAAATTTTGTAACATCGATCAGCAGTGAAATTCCTTTTAAAAGGCTGATTCGAAACTATATAGTTCTAACTTCTAACACTCGTTTTAATATATGGAAACTAAGTTTATTTAAATGGAAAATGTTTGAATGAAGATAGTTACACGTAGCTTTATTTTATCCATAGGCGGATAATTTACAGCGATACAAATATGCGGGAAGTTGTACTGCTGCTAAGAGTCCTGCCCTTAAAGGTCCACACAGACGGAACGCGATTTGGCAACGCGGCGCGATTTTTCAATGCCTCTCTTGTTTTCTTGTTTTTTCAATGTGTTTCAATGTTTCTAACTTTCCAAAAGCAAATAAATCTTAACCTATTATAATATCTTGTAGATTGCTTAACGATGATGCATTTTGATCGCTCTGGCGTCCATAGATTTCAAATTTGCTTCCAGAATTCAATTTATATGCTTCAGAAAACTAAAAATCGGTTTGTGCTATCATATGATCTGTGTAGACCTTTAATGCTCATACACCCTGCATAGACGCGATTCGAATTCTTTATTTTCAGAAGCAAAGAAATTCAATTCCGAAAGATAATTTTGAGAGATATAGGAAACAGAAAATTCAAAATGTACTGTCATTTAGCAATCACCAAGAATATCACAACATTGTCAAAATTAGCAAATTATGAAAACTGAAAAATTCGTGATATTCCTGATTTCGCGTCGCGTTGGCAAATCGCGTCCGGTGTTTGTCAGCCTTAAGGCTGCTTTCCACTTATGCGTTTTTCATACGCACGTACACGCACGTAAAAGTGTAAATCCTTATATATGTTATCTTTGAAAGAACGAAGTAAATAAATCGAAAGAACTTAGTTTTCCGCATATTTTAGTATGCACTTGTAGACCTGGATGTTAAATAATAAAAATTTGGAAGCATTTCAAATTTCCCGTGCGTGTACGTGCGTATAAAAAACGCATAAGTGGAAAGCAGCCCTTAAGGCCGTTCTCCACTTCAACCATATCGTAGCGAAACGTAGCGTATTTCATTGTTTTAAAGTCATTAGTTTTGCTCGAATACTTCGGAAACAAAAAAATACGCTACGTTACGTTACGATTGAAGTTAAAAACAGGCCTTAAAGGTCGACACAGACCAGACGCGATGCGGCAAAGCGACGCGGATTTCCAGTTTTCAGAAGCATATAAATTGAATTCTGGAAGCAAACTTTAGGATCCATGGACGCCAAAGCAGTAAAATGTATTATTGTTGAGTAATCTACAAGAATATTATGATAGGGTAAAATGTATTTGCTTTCAGAAAATAACAAACGTTAAAAATCGCGCCGCTTCAAAGTTTTTTATTTTCTAAAAGCAAATAAATTTTAACCTATCATAATATTTGCCTCCAGAATATAACTTTTAGCTATGCTTCTGAAAAATGAAAATTCGCGTAACCGCATCGCTTCCGGTCTCCATGTGCGCCTTTACATATATAGCGAATCATGGCGGAAATGAAATAACGAGTTGAATAAAAGCTATACGATCCTCAAAAGACCCTGAGAACGAGGTTGTACGATCCTCTCCAAATATAAAAAGTATTACATACTAAATATTATTTTCTGACGTAGGATGATTCTCCTGAGTACAGAATCACAAGGGACTGTTGAGGAGTCAGATTAAATTTAAAGTCAAATGCATGGAGAATGCAACTCTAATATAACTCAACTAGTTTTTTGTTATAAATCTATATCTAACCATCAGTATTTTCCAACATTGCAAAGATGCATGTACCACGTAGAAATGCGTGGATTACCTATAAGACATACAAATACATAATCAAAGTGCGTAATATTCTGCGTCCAGGCCCATAGCGAATATAGGGATTGTAACATAGGGATTAATTGTAACATAGGGATTGTAACATAAAGATTCTAAGTGAATTTAACATAGGGATTAATTGTAACATAGGGATTGTAACATAGGGATTTTTTGTAATTTTGACAGATTTTTCGGCAAATTTGAACTAATTAATTTTAAGTGAAAGCTTGTAAAGGTAATTCGTAGAACGATCGATGAACTTATATCTTCAGCCATGCAGCTAAAATTGTCTCTGGAAAACCAAGTAAAAAAATAATAATTTATGTATTAGATTTCCACTTTACAAACTTGAAGGATGTAATATGGTTGATCGAACGTCACCAACTTATTGTATATATAACCACTCAGTTAAATGTAATTTAATTAAGCACAACAGACAACTACAAACTCGAACATAACACTAAAACATGCATTGACATTAAAGCCTTAACCTAAAAGTCAAAACCTTGAGCGAAAAAATTCTGAAAAAGTACTTTTTTCTCGCAGTATGTTTGCCGGTATATACATATATTGTATGCTAAGGTTGAATACTCTCCTTGCCTTAGTCTCAGCTCAAAAACTCAAACCTTAGTCGCCTTGGATACGGCTTTAATGGATATTAAACCAAATAAGTGATTTTGCGCTTACACCCTCCTGCTTTAACCACTTCGCAGTTTAATGGGCCTGGACACGCCGTACCTCGTCTATACAACCCAACTGCATGATCACTAGCAGCAACCGCATGACCACAGTCGATCAGATCTATGATTCATGCAGTTGATCTGATAGATCAAGTCAAGCATGTACCAACCCAGAGCTGTTGTATCAGTGTATCTTGGATTATGTAGTTGGGATGTGCTTCTCCTACCTCAACTACCACCTACCAGTATAGTGGATAAATAGAACAACAGTGAAGAAAACAACAGAAAAAATGAGACATGATAACAGCAAAACTAACCACCAACCAATACCATGCGAGAACCCTATAAATAATGAAGCGAAAATTAACCTTTGAGATGCATCCAGTTCAGATATGGTCGACGTGGTCGTTTAAGGCCGTTTTCCACTTCAACCGTATCGTAGCGAAACGTAGCTTATTATATGTGTATAGAGATTTATGCACAGCAGAATGATGAAATAAAAATCGTATTTCACTGTGTAAATAAATTTCATGCAATTTGATTGGACGTACGATGTTTTTCACGTGTGAAAAAATGCCATACACGGCTTTTGATTGGACGTACGATATTCTTCACACGTGAAAAATTGTCGCATGTCATTTTGGCGGCAATTTGTTTACATTTTCTTTCAAGATGGCGTCGAAATATAGGAGTGAGATTCAAAACATAATGCTCATATTCAAGATATTTTTACATTCAGCACATCTCAAATCTTTCGGAAAGAATGTCTAACTTCTATTGAACAAAATTACAAAGAAACTGAACGGTAATAAATATGTTTTCATGCATAAAGTTTCGATTTTGTTGTTCGCTGTGTTTTTGTATATTAAAAGCGTGTCGTTGTCAAATTGATCTCTATACACATTTAATAAACAAATTACTTCATGGTTGGCTCGTTTGTACGATTTTTATTATGCACTCGTTGCGAAGGATCGCAAACTCACTCGTTCGCTGCGCTCACTCGTTCGTATTGCGATCCTTCACAACTCGTGCATAAAAATCGTACGCACTCGCCAACCATGAAGTAATCTCTATGTATCTCATTGTTTTAAAGTCATTAGTTCCGGTCGAATACTTCGGAAAAAAAGAAATACGCTACGTTACGTTACGATTGGAATGGAAAACAGGCCTTATTATCGGCAACGTCATCTCACACCTGGTAGCACTCAGTTTCACTACTATTTTCAAACATTACGTAATTACCTAAAAAATGGTTCAGAGTTTATCAGCAACATAATCATTTGACAAGCAAGTTACTGCAAGTAATTAAGTTATACCTATGACTATTGTTGTTGATTCATTCGTTTTTGCTTGTTTTGCTTCTGTTGTACGTCGATGTACTTTCGTTGTAGGTTGATTTACTTTCGTTGTAGGTCGATTTACTTTCGTTGTGGGTTGATTTACTTTCGTTGTAGCTCGATTTACTTTCGTTGTAGGTTGATTTACTTTCGTTGTAGGTTGATTTACTTTCGTTGGAGTTTGATGTACTTTCGTTGTAGGTTGATTTACTTTCGTTGTAGGTTGATGTACTTTTGTTGTAGGTTGATTTACTTTCGTTGCAGGTTGATGTACTTTCGTTGTAGGTTGATTTACTTTCGTTGTAGATTGATTCATTTTCATGGTTTCTATAGTAGGTTCAGTGCGTGAAGAAATTGACGTTATAATACCTGCGAGATAAAACCAAGTTCTTTTAGGTTGGGAAAAATACCATTTAGCCGGGTTAAGACACTCGTATCAACACTAGGTTAAAGTTTAACCGTTATTGCCATATCCTGCTAACGTATATCCTTTAGCTGGATGCAACGTCGAAAAATTTTTTTTTAGTAAAATCTGTATTTTAAACCGTATATTTTCACCCCATTCAGAAAGAAATAAAGAAAACAAGGGTTCGTTAAATGTCTGAATGTTGATTAGGCGGTTTTATTATAAGGCAAGCGTCAAATGGAGCTCAGTGATTGGCTGAGAAGAAGTTTTAGCGGTCCATTACGGGAAAGCAATGGACTGGCACTTTCCCGTAATAGACCGGCGTTACCGATCCAATTCAACATGAAAAACAGAGAAATTCTGAGTTAAAAATAAACAAATAAATGCTCAAGAAAAAATTTAATTGCTTTTGTAGAGATTAGGTAAACTAAATAATTCAATATTTTGTTTTTGTTTTCATCAAATGTAAAGTAAATGAAAGCGATGCGAAATTGCTTAGAAAATATTGAAACGAGAACTGCATGTTGACTACCGCTATCAATGCAACGACGACGATTTAAATTTTTCACCCTTTGTATATGAATAACACCAGGTGCATGATAACTCAGTTTTGTTTGAAAATTTTGAATCTCTAGGAATCTCGCCAGTAATCAAGGTCGTCGTTAGAAGCTTAATTGGGGATAAGAGATAATACACATATATTCATGTTCCAATTAGCCATTTCCCAATCGAGCAGCGTACTGGGTCTATTCGCGAACCGCAAAGCATCTATGGACTGTTTGGAGGGACAAATGTAATCATTTGTAATTATTTATCCCTCAAAACAGGCCATAGATGCTTTGCGGTTCGCGACTATACCCAGTACCCTGCTCGATTAGGAAATGGCTAATAAGCGTAGAAAGTTGCTATCAATTAAAAGAAGTCAGTTTGCAGAGTCGGGTATATAGGACAAATATATGAACAGTCCCCAATTAAGTAGGCTGTGTCTACCAATTAAGCTTCTAGCAGTAATTCCAGATTTCCAGCAAATTGGAATTTATTTACTGAAGAGCTCCTAATTCCTAATTTTGATTACCTTTGATAACGACAACCACTTTTAGAATTTGTATAGGATATCCATAGTGTGGTTGAAGTCTCTCTTTTTTGTACAATAGAGCAAAAAATGTGCCATTGGAAGTTAGTGTAGCGTTATATACCGTAAATGTCAACCTGCCACTATTTCCGAATGAGCCAGTAACATGGATATCCATGGTACGATCATATATTTCGTAGAACCATTCATAAAACTCAACAAGTTCAACTTTATCTTTATATGCATTAGGATAAATTGAAAAATACCAATACACACTTTCGATTTCGTCAAGTGGTGTGCATGTATATGAAATGTTGATCGTAAAGTTTGATCCGACTTGAACACTTATATCATAGTCGTCTTTTGGGCTTGTAATGTTGCAAGCCTGACCTAGAAATGAACAGTTGATTGATATCAAGTTGAAAAAAGATGCACCTGCAGGGGTGCATGTATAGCCAGAATGTCAATGGGGCTCTCTGATATACTTCAACAGCAGGGTGAATTAGAAGGAAATTCAAACTTTGCTCTGAACAGTTTTAAAAATTTAACATAACTTTTTGAATTATAACAAGGGGCAAAGCCCCTGCACTTTTAGGCCCCTTCAATCTTAACAGGGGCTCTGTGAGCTTCTATTCAACACAGTGGCGGATTCAGGGGAAGTCAGAATAAGTCACAGGGCCTAATAATGAGTCACAGGGCCTAATTTCCAATAAAAAAAACTAGCGTAATAACAGCGCTATTGGTTCTTTCTATAGAATATTTTTACATAAAAATCTACCAATATGATTTCGAGTTGAAGCTGTGGTCATTTATTCTGATTTACCCTGATTTGACAACTGATTCAACATGCCTCTAACTATAATAGACGTCTAATGTTTTCCACTCTCGTAAAGTCTGTTTGCCATTAAATTAGCGAGTTTAAGATGCACCAAATCTCCGACGCGGAGGTGACATGAAAACTGCTACTATAGTGTTAGGAAACCAGTATTAATTTGTTTCACAGTACGGCTCTGACTTTGTTTATCAAAAAGAGTCTATAATTTTCATCGCTGATGGGAAACTGTGGAAATTCATTGGAGCAGAAGCAGTATTACTTCACGTCCGCGTCATAGATTTGGTGCATCTTAAACTCACTATTGTAGTATTAGTTTTATTACCCCGCGCGGCCTTTGAAATTCTGCTTATGCGACCGTGATTAATTAGGGTTGTTTCAGTATGTCACAAGTACAAATGTCTTTTAACTTACTTATAATCAACTCTTACAATAAAGAAAGGGCTGTTTAGCCTCTACGACTACGTCCCCCGGCTCATTTCCACACTCGTACTTGCTGAAGCATCGCTGAATTTTTTGACAGCCGTGATCGAACCACACTAAATCGAATTTAAGATATTTACATGCAGGAAAGGAAATATGCACGTTACCGTATACTTCACTGATAGCCGAAAGAAAGATTACCAATTGTCTGACATGTCTTGATAGGAAAATCGACGTCATGTCTGAATTCGCAAAAACGGAATAGAAACATGGAATGAATAAATCGTAAAAATATATAACACTTTCAGTTTTTTTTAGCTTTTCAGTGTGGGGAACAATTAACGCACGCAAGTACAGTATCTTGCTAAATCTCACCTTAAGATGAAGTTCCTGTCAGTCCTTCGATTAAGCTGCTAAATCTAAGAATTTTAAATCTTGATTGAAATACAAGCGCTCCTTCAATATTCAACCCTTCGTAACAGGCGTGACTAGCTGCAAAGATTGAAAACCATATAGTAATTCATGTTCGTCGACAACATCTGTTAATTACACTGTTACAAATTCGACTCCAGTTTTCACTTAACAAAACGTTACACTTTCCAAACCCCTTCGACAATAATGCAATCACCCCAACGCGATAAGATATTCATTCATCAGACATTGATCGAAGGATTTGTCACTTTTATAAACAGTTCTGTCCAGGATTAACCGACTGCCTCAAATGCATCTGGTTGATTCAGCCTGTTAAACCATATATATGTTTGTTTATATTATTTCCAAAATTCAAACTGCCCAATCAAAAAAAATCATTTGTACCATGTGACGAGGATATTTTTCGCGGTATCATATCCCAGTTCCCTATTTACTGTATGTTTGGCTATTCTTGTGTACTGTATTTACTGTATGTTTGGCTATTGTACAGGACTACAAGCTCACAATACTTTTTCGGTATAATATATCATTTATAGACCTGGAGTGAGGGGCCGGGGATTCGGCGAAATATATCCCTAAGTGTTGATATTTTCTGAGGCCTGAGGGCTTTGCCCATAGCAGACCTGTCAACCTAAAAAAAGTAATACAGGGAGAATATGCTGCTGACCACTTTAAAAACCTGGAGATCTCCTAAAAATCAGGGAGATTTTCTCAACACTGGAAAAGCAAAATTTCTAGATATATCTGTTGCTGCAGCCAAGAAAGTTTTGCTCAAACTCATAATAATATCTCAATACATATATTGTTAACTTTCGACACTATGTACAATAAAAAGGTAAAAAGATAAAAAGGCGATTAAAAGTACTAGTTTCGTCCTCCGGACCTTTTCAACAAATCGCCATATACCGCGTGAAAACGCTCAGGTTGATGCAAGTTGATATAAACAGGATGGAGCAATGTTGTGCTGCCCACATTGTTCAGAGTTGTTATTAATATTGAACAATATTGTTACACCCGATTCAGTTTCAACAATATTGTTCATTATCATTCACTTTATAGTATTCTCAATTTTGATTGGTTAATTTACCTGCAGTTAACTGCGTGCAAATAATACTCAGCTGCAAATAATACTCTGAGCATGCGCATTAATGTCAATTTTATAAACAATGGCGACTCGCTTTGGCGAACTGTTCGATAAAACGAACTCAAAATTGAAAATTGTGTGGTGAATGAATTGAAAATTAAGTGGTGAATGATAAAACAATTATTGAACTCGGTTCTCGCAAAATATCGTGATTTGTCGGTGGCTCGCAGATCAATTATTTGCCTCTGCCTTCGGCATCGGCAAATAATTGATCTGCTCGCCACCGACAAATCACGATATTTTGCTCGACCTCGTCCAATAATTGATAAATGTTGATAACAACTCTGAACAATGTGGGCAGCACAACGTTGCTCCATCCTGTTTATTATCAACTTGCATCAACCTGAGCGTTTTTAGGCGTGTCAGGGCGCATATAAGATATATATCTTATATGCGCCCTGGGCGTGTAAACAAATGTTAAAAACTTAAAAAACTTCATGTAATACAAATATATTATCCATCTACTGTTGAAACTTCATGTAATAACATGATCAATCTACTGTCACGATAGCACGGGGAATTTTCACATAATTCCATTCATTCTTTGTGTTCATTAGTTCACTTTGCTTTACTCTGTTGATGTTTACTGCTTCTGTAACCTGTCTTAACATTGCATCGTCACGGAAAATGCCAGTAACATTCATTATAAAGAGTGGTATATCGCCTCCATGCTTCTCATTTGCATGTCTCCCGGCACATGACAGACTGTTCTTCACGACGATTCAAGGAGTGTAAATGCTCTTTGCCACGACTATATGCACTTCTTGACGTTTCTCTCACATATATGTGTTTGCATTCCTGGCAAACAAGTTCGTACGTGACTCCAGTGGCACCACATTCTCCTTTCCTATTACTTTGGCAAGCCAAACACTCTCTTCTTTGACATCGTTTCTCCCGGAAAGGGTTAGATCGTTGTAGTCGTTGTTTAAGTGTTACTCCAGATTGTTCTACTATCTTGATGTTAAGTCCCACACATTTAACTTCTTCTTCATATCGTTGTTTAAGGGCAGATCTTGGTGTTGCTGGTATAAAAATAACACTGTCATATCCTCCCTTCTTATACCAGGTGTCTCGTTTCTTACGTTTTTCTTCGGCTCGATCAACCTGTCGCCACTCTCTAGTCCTATACATGGGCCTCTTTTCACAGCTGTCTAACTTCTTGATGTTATCATATGCCTTTAAAGCTGACTTTACTACCTCCATTCTAGATTTCGCATCATAACCAGAAAACTGTAGACGTATCATCATATTGTTCACATGATCAACAACCACTTCCTATGGTAACCGCGTACTACAGTTCAGTAGAATTCTCAATACTTCTTGTGTAAGTATTGTTCTCTTACTACTCCATGGTAGGGCTGATTTCGCATTAACAACGGACTTGGACGCTACATCTTTGGCGTAAAATTCATGTAATATAACTTTTTCAGTCTGTTGTCCTTCATTCCCTTCTCTCTCCTCAATCCAAACTTTTAAGTCAAGTATGGGAAGTTTGTGGTCATTATGGCGTGATGGGCAATCAATTTCCATCTCAATAGATGGGTGAATGCTGTTGGCAATAGATTTGAATAAACGCATCGCTCTTTCATCCGCCTCTATGGACCGATCTGCTTCGGCAGCAACTTGATCTTTAACCAGTTTATCACCATTAAACCTCAATCCCAACTGGGGCACACCCATTATAGAGTTTACATCTGCCCTTAAACAACGATATGAAGAAGAAGTTAAACGTGTTGGACTAAACATCAAGATAGTAGAACAATCTGGAGTAACACTTAAACAACGACTACTACGATCTAACCCTTTCCGGGAGAAGCGATGTCGAAGACGAGAGTCTTCTGCGATTTATTAACAGCCGATAGGAAAATGAGACGTATTTTGTTTACAGATTTCAGTTTAAACAAACGACTACGAAACTTTTATATAGCTTGTATGACTGGTATGCAAATACCCTCTGGGCTGGGGATTTAGACTAAGGTCAGGTAAAGAAAACTTTCGTGGTGGAACCCTTAGCTCAATTCATTCTTTGACAACGTGTCGCGATTTTTGCGAATCTGCAAATCGAATATCATCCCTACGAGGGTGTCTCTTTTAGCCATGCATGCGGACCAAATAAATCAGGATGCACCCCGTCAAACGTCAAGTATTTCGATTACTTTTATCATCAAGCTCTCAAACTCTGAGAAATCTAATTAAAGGATAAAATCCTATTTGCAAGAGCTATACTTTACATACTATCCTTAATACTGAACATTCGTTTGAAAACTTGTCTGAACGACCGTTGTTGGTATGCATACAAATATGGATTGACTGCACAACTTAAATAACCGATCGTAAGGAGGAAATACTGTGCTGACGAGCTTAAATGACCAGACAAATCGGGATGCAACTCGTCAAGTATTTTTTTATTTACCACATGAGGCCATTTTTATCATCCAGCTTCTAAAAACTGCTAAATCTACTTGAGGATAAAATTATTTAGTCTGTACTATAGTATTAAAATCACAGTTACAAGTCTGTACCTTATATAGAGCCTACTTTCCTTTAATACCGAACATTCGTTTGAAAACTTGTCTGAACGACCGTTGTTGGTATGCATACAAATACGGATTGACTGCACAACTTAAATAACCGATCGCAAGGAGGAAGTACTGTGCTGACGAGCTTAATAACTTGTGCTCGCAGCCATCACACAGATTATACACCAGGCCAACCGCGCTGAAGGGATACCAACATAAGAGTTGAACCAACACGATCACTGAAAAATGTCTGGCGACTTTAGTTTGGTACTTTTGCTTCATTCTGAAATCATCTTGCCCCATTCTCTTCACTCTTTCATTCCTTCTGTCATCTTCATCATTTTTTCTCTTTTTATCACATTTCGCTCCATTTCTATTTGTAGTCCATACTTTTAAATAATTTTCTTCATCATTTTTTCCAATTTTACGTTTCATCTTTTCATGCCATTTTCTTTCTTTCTCTTTTCCTCTGTTGTTCTCGTTTAGCAAATTTTCTTCTTCGTTATTCTGGTTAGATCTGTCCTTGTCACATCCCTTTATAATTTTTTCATCTGCATTTCCAAATTGACCAACTTTGGCTCCGTTGTTTTCCTTCTTGTATTTGTGGCTAATTCGGTTTCGTTCTGTTGCTTTTCCTGTCCGATTTCTCTCGTGAGCGTTTTTATAGAAATCTCGTTGGTTTTGTGCAGTTTTGCTGTCGCCGTATCTTTTGTTTTCTTCTATTCCCGTATTGATTACATCTTTTGTTTCTCCATTGTTCGTTTCCGGTAATCTTCTTCATTTATTCCAGTTTCAGTCATATCATTCTTACAATTTCTGTCCTTATAAAATTCCACTTTAATTTCCGGTATTTCTTTAGCCTTTGAGACCCGGACATTTTGGATAATATTTTTTTCACTTTTATTTATTTCACTTCTATTTTGTCCAATCCATTTCATTTTAAAGTCATCAAAAACATGTCTCCTGTTGGTATAATAATATACATTCTCACGTGTAGCGTTGCCATGACGACCGACGAAGAATGAACGCAATAATGGTGACAGCTGCTGAATAGCTTGGCGACATGTCAAAGTAGCAGAAGTACACATCCGGGCAATTGGGGGAAGATCACGTGACAATGTCTCATTTAGAGGAGGTCCAGTTATAACTGGTAGCAAAGCCATGAAGACACTCAATCCCCATACACCAGTGATTAAGCACACTGCTTTGGTGCGGGTTAAAGTCATTCCAGCGCGATACTTTAAAGGATTTGATATGGCTTGATAACGGTCAATACTTACGACACACAAAGTTAATATGGATGTTGGTACTGATACAGTATAAGCATTGGTCCAAATTTTGCACATCGCTATTCCATGTGTCCAACTACTAATTCCATTAATCTTTATGTCCACGTCAAATGGTATCACTAAGCTGGCTGTGATAATATCCGACAGCGTTAAATTCATCAGGAAATAGTTGTTCACCATTCTTAGTTTCGGTGTGGTGAGAAACGCGTACAATATCATGATATTACCCGTTAAGGAGATGACTATTATCAGGATCATAACGACCCCGGTGAATATGTCGAAAGATGACGGGGGTTGAAATTGAAAATTGTGAAAGGAATCGTTACAGCTGATTTCGAACGTCGTTGTATTGTTTGAAGACGTCGTGGGATATTCATACATCTAAAAAGAAAGAGAGAAATTATCTGTGATTGAAAGTCCTTACACCTAATTCAATGGATAAATGCTTTCAATGTTTTCAATGTTTTCAAAGTTATGTATATATATCACGAGGTGTGAATGTACCTATGATATACCAAATATTATACTAAAAAACAAATGTATTCCGATATGCATATTTATATATTCATTGTAGAAATATAAGAGTTAAATCTGCCTAAATAAACCTTCAGCACCTTGTGAATACCATCATTCAGCAAATAGCTTTGTCAAACAAAGTCCGGGTTATTGTGTGTTTTTGGCGCTGGATATAAATCCAGGGGCGTGGATTAGACGAGTGTGTAAAAAATTCTACTGATGGGACCAAGAAGATCGGTCCGGAAATCCATCTTGAAACTAAATATGTCAGTCCGGCTTGGATCCAAACAACATTACTTTATATCGAGCCTATAATGCGCTAACGGGACTCCGAGTGTAGTACATTTCCGCACCTAATACGAAAGTGTACGAAATTTGCCAACGCTTGGCTATTCTTCCATAATAGTAGGCAAAATTTCGCAGCCGAATTTAATTCAAGTATCCTCCTTCCGGAAATTTCCAAGCTATCGCCACAACTTCCAGTCTATGGGGACAACTTGCAAACTAGCTCATCGTTGCTATCGTTGCTATCTTTCACAGGTCCACGTGTACGCGTTGCGTACCAATGTTTGATAATTTCTTGGCAAAGAATCAAAGTCACTAATAACGCAGTCATCGGCTCTACATACGCTTCCCCAATATATGAGAACTTTTGACGCCTTCCGTTTACTTACGACCAGAAACAACCGGCGATAAGTTTTGCTGAATGATGTCAGCTAGCCAGCAACAATTATAATTAATAAATTATCTATTCACAATATCATTTCCTACGTGACCCGCGTCCTGTCCTATCACTACGAAGAAAAAAAAACATTTAGCTGGTAAAGTTAATCAATGGAAAATTTCTTCCCAAATTTATTTTGTCACTTTTATGTCGCCCTTTCAAATCCTGTTTTTTATAATCTGTTAGGTAATGTGTTAGGTTATTCGGCAGTTTAGGAATTGATCATCGTAGACATGTTTACATAATGTGTAATATGTTCGAATGAAAACGAAAAAACATTTATTCCTGCTTTTATTTACGATAGTCACAACTGTTCATTTGTAGCTGTGCTTTCATTTCAGCAAGTAAAGCACTACACTTTTTTTTGAATTTTCTAAGACAACACCGAAACAACAATAGTTTAAAACTCACCGTTGATCACAGTCAATAAAAAACATCTGTGACCTGCCAAGTGAAAATTATGGACTTCATAAATGAAAATAATTTTTGTATAAAGTAAAGAACATACAAGAAAACTTGTAGAACAACATACGTACTCTTTAAATTTTAACGATATACCATCATTATGATAGAAAAACGATCGTTTCTTCTGCCAATATGTATATATATACGACAAGCTGCTAAATTTGTTGCCAAGTGACAACTGGTCAAGTCATGAATGTTTTACGCGCGTCTTCTTATCTATATATATGTAAATCGCCTATTAACTAACAATGGGAGGCGGCCTAAAGGGAAGATAAAGATTCAGGAGAAAGAAAAAAAAGGAAGAGAAGACATTGCATTCAGTTGTGAGCAAACTGAATTTTTTTTTCCTAGTGATTAGCACTGAAATACGATTGTCATTGGTAATCATACCAATTCATGGATCGCCTAAGTTTTTGCCAGTAATTTTTTATCTTGCTATGTCTCTTATCTTGCTATGCTTACCTTGCTATACGTAGGGCTGGATCATGCTTTTTCATACGCATGTATACGCGTTTTTCATACCGCGCACGTATACGCACGCAAACTGATGTGTTAGTATGCATTTGTTCAGCTAGATGTTAGATAATAAAAATTTAGAAGCATTGAAAATTTTCTGTGGGTGTACGTGAGTATATGGACTGCTTTCCACGCGTTTATATGCATAAACACGTAAAAGTCTAAATCCTTTTATTAAGTATATATGTCTTATTTGAAAAAGCTAGGTCAATAAATCAAAAGAACTTAGACCATGGCCAGAAATTGCGGACATGGAATATGCAGATTGCCGTAGCAAATTTGCATATCTGTTCAAATATTATTCGTTTGCAGAACTATAAATTATATTGCGCATTCTTAAATTTCGCAAAATTTAAGAAAATCATTGCATCTTTGCAATTTGCCCCGGTTGTTTCTTGTAATTCGTGTCATATTAAAGATCCTGAACTACCTGAAGTAATATTTTGCTGGTAAAGGTTTATGTCGGCTCTGCAGTTTTATTTTATTTCTACGCTATTACGGTTTTCGTTTTATATGGTATTCAACGTGATAAATGACCAAAACTTTGTTTTGAAAATGCAGGAAGAATACTGATAAAACATTTTGAAATACTGCCTCAAAATATTAAGATTAACTTTCTCTGCAACGAACAATTAAGGCAAATTATAATCGACCACCTAAAGCTGTATTTATAGCATTTAGTACTGTGCACATTACAGTTTACTATAAGCTCACGAAGCTTTATTTTGACACCATATGCAAATTTAGGCGGAAGTAGAATGTTAATTATGTCTGAATTTTCTGGCCATGTTAGAACTTAGACACACGTTAGCAGAATTATCGTAAGAAATGCTTGTATATTGTCATTCAGGAGTAGAATTGCATTGCAAGTTGAAGGGAATCGAAAGTTACATAGTGTAACAGCGCCTCTATACATGTTTGTGTATGTGGCATGTGCGGGTATTTATTGCTATAGCTATAAACATAAAATTAACACATGCATAAAATGTCTTAATTTACTACTTCTGTTCAGTCTCCCGGATGGTCTCTCAGAAATTCATCAACACAGATTAGTTGATCCAAAGATAGTCGTACGTGTTATGGCCTACTATTTCTACATTAAAAAGTCTTTCTGATGCATGTGTTGACGAAGGATGGTTTACATCTTTGCACATAGCTCGTGAAAGTAAAACTTGTTTCATTTAAGGTTGTTCTGAAACTGGAAACGATAAAGTTGTGCCGGTAATTACCGGAAGGGACTATTTTATGCATGCATTGTGTTTGGTATAATAGAGTAGCTTACCTTAATTAACTATGTTCCTATTAAAGATCTTATGCAACTTGTGGCTAGGTGGGAAGTGTTTTTCTAGCAGATTTAGAAAGCTGCGGTCCATACTGGTCCTCACACTTTTACTGAAAAGAGGGTTGAAGCAAATGCCTGCTGCTGCGTGTTTGTAGCTGTGGTGCATGTTTCATGTAGTCTAATTTGTGTCTGTGCGTTTTGGTAAATATGTATACCGTATTTAATCGTTTGAGCGCCGCGGCGCTCTTTAAATTTTTAGGGCTTCAACTGAATGCCGCGGCGCTTAATCGGGGGCGATTTTTATGAATCAGCAAGTCGATTATCGTTCCTACGAGAGTGTTTCCTTTAGCTATTCGGACCAGATAAATCGGGATGCACCCAGTCAAATATTTTTTTATTTACCACATGAGGCCATTTTTATCATCCAGCTTCTAAAAACTGCTAAATCTACTTGAGGATAAAATTATTTTGTCTGTACTATAGTATTAAAATCACAGTTACGAGGGCTGTACCTTATATAGAGCCTACTTTCCTTTAATACCGAACATTCGTTTGAAAACTTGTCTGAACGACCGTTGCTGGTATGCATACAAATACGGATTAACGGCACAACTTAAATAACCGATCGTAAGGAGGAAATACTGTGCTGACGAGCTTAATAACTTGTGCTCGCAGCCATCACACAGATTATACACCAGGCCAACCACGCTGAAGGGATACCAACATAAGAGTTGAACCAACACGATCACTGAAAAATGTCTGGCGACTTTAGTTTGGTACTTTTGCTTTATTCTAAATTCATTTTGCCTCATTCTCTTCATTCCTCCACTCATTCTGCTGTTCGTTGTATTTGAACGAGATCCATTTCTTTTATTTTCATCATTGTTGTTGTTCATCACTATCGTATCTTCATCCTTTTTGCCATTTTTTCTCTTTTTGTCACATTTCCCTTCATTTCCATCGGTAAGCCATCCTTTTGAATAATTTCCTCCGTCATGTCTTCCAATTTTACGTTTTATCTTTTTATGCCATTTCTCTTCTTTCTTTATTCCCTTGGTTTTGTGGTTTAGCATGTTTTCTTCTTCGTTATTCTGGTCAGATCTGTCCTTGTCACATCCCTTTATAATTCTTTCATCTGCATTTCCAAATTGCCCAACGTTGGCTTCGTTATTTTCCCTTTTATCTTTGTGGCTAATTCGGATACGCTCTGTTGGTTTTTCTATCCAATTCCTGCCATCGCCGTCATCACAGATTTCTCGTGTGTTTTGTACAGTTTTGTTGTTTTCGTTGTTTTTGTCTATTCCCTTATTGATTCCATCTTTTGTTTCTCCATTGTTTGTTTCCGGTAATCTTTCTTCATTTATTCCATTTTTTTTCATATTCTTATCACTTCTGTCCTTATGAAATTCCACCTTAATTTCCAGTATTTCCTCAACCTTGGAGGACCGGACATTTTGGATAATATTTCTTCCATTTTTATTTACCTCACTTCTATTTTGTCCCATCCTTTCCATATTGAAGTCATCAGAAACATGTCTCTCGTAAGTAATGATGATATACATTCTAACGTATAGCGCTGCCATAACGACCGATGGAAGAATGAACGCAATAATGGTGACAGCTGCTGAATAGCTTGGTGATATGTCAAAGTAGCAGAAGTACACATCCGGGCAATTGGGGGGAAGATCACGTGACAATGTCTCATTTAGAGGAGGTCCAGTTATAACTGGTAACAAAGCCATGAAGACACTCAATCCCCATACTCCAATGATCAGGCACACCGCTTTGATGGGAGTTAAAGTTACCCCGGCGCGATATCCTAAAGGATTTGATATGGCTTGATAACGGTCAATACTTACGACACACAAAGTTAATATGGATGTTGGTACTGATACAGTATAAGCGTTGGTCCAAACTTTGCACATCGCTATTCCATGTGTCCAACTACTAATTCCGTTAATCTTTATGTCCACATCAAATGGTATCACTAAGCTGGCTGTGATAATATCCGATAGCGTTAAATTCATCAGGAAATAGTTGTTCACCATCCTTAGTTTCGGTGTGGAGAGAAACGCGTACAATATCATGATATTACCCGTTAAGGAGATGACTATTATCAGGATCATAACGACCCCGGTGAATATGTCGAAAGATGACGGGGGTTGAAATTGAAAATGGTGAAAGGAATCGTTACAGCTGATTTCGAACGTCGTTGTATTGTTTGGAGACATAGTGGGATATTCATACATCTAAAATAAAAAAGAGAGAAATTATCTGTGATTGAAAAGCCTTAGACCCGGCAGCTAATTCAGTGAATAAATATGCTTTCAATGTTTTCAAAGCTATGTGTATGTAAACAGGCGTGCGCGTACCTATGATCACCAAATATTATGCCAAAAAACAAATTAGAATGAAAATTAGAATGTCTCATCTTTAATCTTAATTAAGTTTGCCTTTTGCTTTGTAAGAGTATACGTAGGATCAAAGAGATGAGGAATTTCCTCATTCAATAATAGGGCAGGCATAATAAGTGACAACCCAGCATCTCTTCCGCGCTCAGCATTATACTGTAAGTAGGTTTAAAATTTTATTGAATTAGCTTAGCTTTAATAGCCTTAACAAAGTTTAATCTGTGATTAAAATTCCTTACACGCGGCATCCAACTCAGTGGATAAATTTTCACAATGTTCAAAAGCTATCAAGACAAAAAAGACCATTTCGAGTCAATTGAATTCGATATTGAATTCGAAATCAATTTGCGTAGGACGGAGACATTACAGCACCTTTAAGTCCCTACTATTGAAAAAGACACAGAACATTCAGAACTGCCTGGTTAATGTAACGCCTACGGGAACAATTATGTAATTACAGGAATGTAGTAAATTTAATTAAATTAAAGTTCCAATTCAAGGATCAAGATAGTTTGTTATGCGCAGAAGATGTGCACAGAACGAACTTTACAGTTTACATCATCTTTATAGGCTTCACTTTCATTTTCATTTAATTTCTACGCTTATAAGTTTCTTATAAGTTTCTTACATTTCAAACTATCTCTACTATCATGCAATATTTACCATTTACACTAAATATGGATAACAATATTTATATTTACGGCAACTTTCGCATCATGACTTTGGTCATGTCCTTCTTCTCTAGCAAAAAGTTAAATTTTTGTAGTCCTATTAGCATTTTATAAGTTGTGTTAATCCCCACGAGCAGAAATTCGCTATATAGTCATTCTAATTTCAACAATAGGTGATTTCAATAGTTTTGGGTTTTTGGGGACCCCGATATGCACCTTGTAGTTTTGGCTCTGGTTTTAGGCAGTCATCTGTGTAATGAAGTTCCTTTAGTATTTGCAAAATCTAATCTCTAAAATACCTTAGTGGAACTCGAATTTGAGTGGCTCGTGCAAAAGTGCATGACTCTGCGCCCACTACACGGTTGAAAACACGCACAAGTTGTTCCTCTTGATAAAGCAGAACAAAGGGCTGTTTTCCACTGTCGGGTTTTTTGCATACGTATACGTCGTACGCACATAAAAGTTTAAAATAATTTAAATGATACTTAAATAATTTAAACGATTGACCTGCATAGGATCGGATTCTCTTGATAATTTTCATGGTGTGTTTTTTTCTGTAATTATACAACAACTTGTTCTTAATGCGTATACGTGCGTGCTAAAAACACGATAGTGGAAAGCAGCTCTATTAATGTTGCATGTGCTACACCTCAAAGCATGGGTGAATCCATGCATGCCAACAACTTAACAAGTTCTTACAAGATTGTTGACGAACGTACGGTTCGTGGGGTGCAACACACATTGCGCAGGCCTGGATTTATCTCCACCAGGTTAGTCACTCTGCCGTGAAAAATCATCATTCGCTACTACTACAGTAACATTAAGCAAGCCACTGATCGGTCCAGTACTCAGAGCGTAATGGTTAGCATCTGAACCCTCAAAACCCCTCTGACATTGCTAGAAATTTGGTGAATGGTGAAGTACCAAATCGAGACTCGATCTGACTTCAGTATGCCGGTAAACCCTTGTTGACGCTAAAGAACTCTTGTTCACGAGGATGAAGTATTTAATTCCCTAGTTCGATCACAAATAATTATACTGTTACTGGTCTGTATATTATATGACAGCGGCCATATTCATATAGCGTTAAGATTTTGCAGCTGTGGCCTTGCAAGTTATTGCATGTGCAATGTTTTGAACACTGAAATTCTAAAGGACATAAATCACTACAGCCTACAGGACGTCTTAAAAAACACGAAAGCCATTGAAGTCATTCACTGAGTTAAGTGTTCAAATTTGGACGTCCTGTTTTTGAATCTGCCTGTAGAAGATTTGACGTAACTTGGTATAAGCTAATATGCATTTATGCGCACAAACAAATTTACTTGTTTATCAATTATCATGCATAAAAATGTTTATGTGAAACATTTATACTCTTGTAACAGTATCCAAATTCCAACAATCAAATTGTTATGGGTTATTTCAGTGCATTTCGTTTTCTCGTGATGACCTGCGTGTTTTTCTCAATAGCGGAAAAAACAGTGCATGGAAGGCAGATCAAGGCATAGATAGTGATCTATGCATGATATAATGTTCCTGTATATATTCCTGTTCCTAAGCATAAAGCATGCATGCATGATAGCGTTTTCAAAACATGATAACGACAGATAGGGCCTATACGAAGAATAATCCAGTCAACACTCTATATATGTGTGGAAGGCATCATGCATAGAGAAAAGGCAGAAAACAATACCAATACATATAAGCAATTTGAGAAAACTCTCTATTTGAGAAAGCCCACTACTTGGCTCAGTATATTTCTAGTAGGAATTTCCTACACTTTTTGATTGCGGGGGATCTAATAGGATCATGAATGTGATTACCATGCAAACCGTATGGATTATTTCACTGCGCAGATTGCGAGAAATATATGTGTATCAAGGATCAGATTAACATTTGGATTTTTTTAGCACTGCTTCGGGGTAGTTAGTATATAGTAAAAACGCGCATGCAAGTTGTTCGCGCGGTTGTTAAAAACGGGAGAGAACAATGACAATGTTGTCGGCTGCACCGGAGTCACGAACAAGGTTTTCGACAACGTGCAACAACTTTCTGAGGTCTGACAAATACTGCAACTTGCGCAATAACAAGCATGTTTATGGGATAAAACACAAATTTTCCCGCTGACCTGTTTTGAAAGTTTTCATCAACCAGGAAGGCAGGAACAATTCAAGTATGTAGAACGTGCATGAATGTGTTGTAGTCTTTGAAGTCGTTCCCCGCTGAGTCAAATTTTTCACCTCCGGCGTTTCCTAGCCAACCGTACGTCTACATGAGCGTTATCCGGAAAACATTGTTAATCAGTTCAAAACTGTTTCCCCCATGCAATTAGAAAAATAACAAATGTGTTTTTAAACAGAATGTATTGAACTGTATTCTTAATTTGGCACGCGCTTTAGTTCTCGGAAAATTGAGCAACTTCTCATTTCGAGTGTAAGGATAGCGCGATCTTGAACCATTTATAGCATTTTCGAAGTATACAATAACGGACAGTGAAACGGACAGCTGGCTTCATCTGCACGTAAAACTGTATGTTTTACTGTTGTTATCTTAAATGCATGTATTTTTTCAAAGGTTCCGCAGATTGAACGGCAAAATATTGCATGCAAAATCATGCACAGTTCACCGATAAAAAGGTATATTTAAATCTAACTCAAGTCGTTCCGACAGTGAATTTAAAAAATTACGAAAACAATATCATGCTATTGGTATGTAAGTCTTAAAATATGAACAATAACATAAAATGTACATGTTTATTTGTATTTATACTTATATTTATATACCAGCAGTTAGCATGGCATCGCGGTTTTGCGTGTTTATAGATTTTGGCTCGCCGCAAACGAAATATAGTTAATATACAAACAATTATTACGAATTAAGTAATACACAAATCTTACCTTTTCTCTATTTGAAGTGTTAGGGCTCTTTTCGGTTAATATACTTGTTTTTTTATTGAAACAACCATCTAAAACGATCAGTATTTGCTAGGCTTTCCTTGCCCTAGGCTAAGACAACACGCGTGGTATACCGAGCTAGCAACCTTGCTCCGAACTCTTTATTTAAAACTGATTTATAATGTATTTATTGATGCGGGGGTTTTCAACAACAAGTACTTCAAGATGATTATATTCCAAAAATTAATTCCATCTTTCATTAGCGCTGTCTCCATCCATACATCACCACTTGTTAGGATTCAATGTTTACGTCATTCCCTGTGCGATCTATTAATTTATTTATTCGAGACTGGACTCTGTTATTCCGGACTCTGCTCTTCTTATTGGTACTACAATACAGAAACGTTCGGGTGTTAAAATATCTGTGCTCCCCTGGTGCCCCATGGCAAGGAAAGTAAAATGTACTTGAAAATTGGACAGGTAGTGTAATTAACGCTGAAAACACCCTGACCCGCTTTCTACTGCGCGCCGAAGCCCTGTTTTGGCCCAAAGTTCAGGTTTAGGAGGGGGAGAGAAGCGTAAGATACGTGTCGTCTGTAATTTTCCTATAATTACGTGGCCTGATAAGGAAGAAATTAAGCCTCAATAAAATTCTCAAATTTCTATGAATGACCGTGAAGTATCACCTTTTTATTAAGAAAAATCCGAGAAAAAAATTAAAAACTAAAAATTATGCCAAATATTATAGCTAAATGACGACTTTTCGCGAACATAAAAGCTCTATATAGAAGAGAAAGGATAAAACTAATTCTGTTGCATTTTCGACAATTTTCTATTCAGAAAACAGAATAAACTGCCTGAGACACAACATAAAAGAGAAGACAAAAATTAGTCAAAGTGGGGTGAAAGTGCTTGCAAAGTTGCAAACACATGCAAAAGTCGAAACAATTTGGCGGCATTTGTAGTACAGAATGTTTTTTCTGGAAGCCTTTTGCCATTATAAGGTTAAGAAATAGTCCGCAAGTGTAACTGAGAAATGCAGACACGTCCCATGCTTTGAATCCGCGTCCTACTGCATCGCTTTTGCGATTAATTGTTGCATAAACGTTGATAATCCTCATTTGCATTGTTTGCAGATGTTGTTGTCGAAACAAGATAGCCTTTGATTGTATTTTTGTCGATTTATCACGAGAGGTAATTAAATTTTGGCAGGACCGGAGACGACGCATCAAAACAACACGCGGAACTATGAGAAATTCAACAGCAGTTGCATACCACTATTAAATGGCCGCATCAAAACAAGCGTAGAGCTTTTATGAATAAACTCAACAAAGCAATGTTTTCTGTTTGTTCATCTCATTTGTTCGGTTCCGGCGTGACAAATGTGTGTATTAACAATTATGTTATCGTAACGAATCTTTTGTGCCCAAGGCTCAGAGGGCAACTTTGTCCGAAGTTTGAGAGCAGCTAGTTGTCGCATGCTTCCATATAATTAAGATAATTAAAATGGCGGTTTGTAGTAGGAAATAATAAATTAGGATGTAATCAAGCGGTGAAATTCGTCGTCTTCGCAGGTCTGACTTCAGCAGAGACTGACTGAGCAACAATTAGAACTGAAAAATTCCTGTTCTTTCAACGCCACGAAAATGTTAGTCCAAAGGTCGGAGCACTATTCATAGCGTAATATATCTTCACATGCGTCTAGTAGCGATTGATACGATCGAAGCGCCACACTCCCATTCGGCCTATGGGAATTAGACTGCCCTTTTTCTGTCGAAATTGAACCCTCATATTTGTGGAAAAATTTGCCCTAAGCGTTGATGTTGCGCTTACAAAAGTGTTTGAATTGGCAAGATTTTGCAATTCTATCACCATTGTTATAAAAACTCCGGTTTCGAGTTACTAGCAAAGAATGTCTTGTTTAAAAGCATATCAAGAGTTAAAAGAATCAGAAATCGTTGAAACTAAAGGCCCACATACTCCGACGCGGTTTGGCAACGCGATGCGAATTTTTGGTTTTCAGAAACAAATAAAAATTTAATTAATGACCGAAGTGAAATATGGATGCAATAACTCATATAGCCTAAAGTGGATCCCAAATGGTTCCGAGAGCACGGTTATATATAGAAATTCCAAATCCGGATAAAAGCCAGGGGACACATAAAAAAATTATTTTCTTCATTGTTAAATGGCGACGGCAAATAGCGCACGCTGATTGACTGCCGACTCAGTTCGAAAAAAAGTTAAGTTTAATCTGTGGTTTAAATGACCGATCATTATGCTTTTTAATACGTGTGGAAGAACGTGGGAAACCAGCCATAATTTTTTGTCAGTTTCAGCGATTTCAAAACAAAACAACTTCACGGCTCAAATAATCAACCCAGTTTGTGTCTTTTGTACATATAACGGCAGATTTGTCGGTGCAACAAGCTTGCCAATATGTATAACAAGACTTCCCTCTGATATAACCTTGTTTTGCCCAACCGTGAAGCGAAATAACTCCTGTGCATGTGGACAAGAGGGAAAACCCTTGGTATACTGACGAGGTTGCTCCAGCGCATGTGGATAGAGCGAATACCCTGGGAACGAGTTTTGTTCGGTCTGATATTTCTTCGTACTGCCGCGGTCTTCACGCGCGTTTTTAAAAAATTCACCAAAAAATGGCATTTGTTTAACATGAAATTTGTTAAATAACCGTTACCTCCCAACCCACACCATTTTTGTAGATTTTTGTACGCGAATATAATTTTTGTGGCGAATTTAGTGCATGAGTTTCTTTTCTCAGGAAATTCATGCCCTTACTTCCTATTACATTTTACTTTTTTCAATACTTGAACATACATAACTATGCTTGATCACATCTATCGAAAGACGAAAATCACAGCTGAAATTGCTGCAAAAATCACCCGTGGCCGTGTAAACGGGTTTTTCGGCAAATCGGAACAAAACTCGTGTTCAATTTTTATTCGGAAAGTTTGTGTAGACTGAATAAAAGGTTCTCAGCCACATCAAGTTTGTACACATAATTTTGGGCATTTCGCTCGATGGAGATAAACATAGACGTGGGTGCACAGAACATGGGTTTCGATTCCTGCAGGAGTTTTTCTCAACCGCTCCTGGTTAGAATTCTGAATTCCATCCATTAAAAACCCTTGAGAATGAATTATATATTAATGATATGATACAGTGATATCCGCACTATTTGACAACGGTGACACAATCACCGTGTAAGTGTTATTCCCCCGACCTTTATGGAAATAACTTATTTGGCAAGTGTTTTTTTTTGCGAGCAAGCACGATTTGAACAACACAATATATCATCATTTTACAACCATCTAAATACAACCACTGAGCATATAATAATTAGATGATTATTACATAGCTTAGTGGGTATCTTATTTATAATTTATTCCAGGTTTTGAGATCAGTGGTTTTATCCCAGGCCTCACAATTTGCTCGGCCAAGACGTTACAAATTCCAGCAATATGATTGGATGTCATGAAAACATCTGAATTCAAATCTCAAAAATACAGAACACCGGCCATTTTGAAAATTCGAAAGGGTAAGTCTTCATGAAAGATTTAATAATGACTGTAAATCCTAGCTAAATTTCTGTTCGATTGTTCCTTTTGGGGACAGTTTTAAAGGCCATTTGCTCTCCTTAAGAAAAAACCCACATTTTTGACGTTTGCTAGCGTGGTTCCGCAGAAATTGCTGACCATTAAACGCCTAAATATGGAAACTGCGAACATGGACGAATCTGTGGTTTCTTATGATCAAGGAATCGGAATTCTTGGATCTAGTGTTTTATTACCGATGGATATTCACGTTAACAAGTACAATGCGGATAAGAGATTGCAAGAAGTACTTGAGCGATTTAACGAAACTTACTTGGAAGCCATGGATTTCTTAACACAAATTTTACCTCTGGCTCGAGAACAATTTGGCAGGTACGTATTCGTATAAAGATAATTTCGGGTTTGGATAATTTGAATGCTTAGACACACGGTTATACACTTGGTTTAATTCTAATGGTAGTTTTTTTATACCTTGTTTAATTATGATGGTAGATTTTAGGTAAATTTATACTATATTAGATGGCAAAGAATTTTTATTATCATCAATTAATGTATACAGTATACTCAATGAAATTGTGAAACTGAAATTTATAACCATTGCTTGAAACTGTTAGTTTGGGCCATGTCATACTGTATATATCATACTGTATGTATCTATAGTCCAATCTTGAGACCTTTTTAGGCAACTGTCCTATTTTCACAGCCTGCCCCCCAGGTTGACAATCTTGGCAAGATCCTTGCAAGATCTTGGTAAGATCTTATCACAAGATCTTGTCAAGATCTTATCAAAATCATGCAAGATCCTGCAAAGATTTTGCCATGATCTTGCAGGATCTTGGCATGATCTTGCAGGATCCTGCAAGATCATGGCTGTGATCTTGCCATGATCTTGCCACAATCTTGTCATGATCTTGCCACAATCTTGCCATGATCTTGCCACAATCTTGCCACGATCTTGCCATGATCTTGCAAAATCTTGGTGAATCCTAGAAAACCTTGGCAAGATTCTGAAAAACCATGGCAAGATTGTGATAACCATGGCAAGAACTTACAAAACCATGGCAAGATCTTACAAAACCATGGCAAGATCTTACAAAACCATGGCAAGATCTTACAAAACCATGGCAAGATCCTACAAAACCATGACAAGATCCTGCAAAACCATGGCAAGATCTTACAAAACCATGGCAAGATCTTACAAAACCATGGCAAGATCTTACAAAACCATGGCAAGATCCTACAAAACCATGACAAGATCCTGCAAAACCATGGCAAGATCTTACAAAACCATGGCAAGATCCTGCAAAACCATGGCAAGATCTTACAAAACTATGGCAAGATCCTGCAAAACCATGGCAAGATCTTACAAAACTATGGCAAGATCCTGCAAAACCATGGCAAGATCTTACAAAACCATGGCAAGATCCTGCAAAACCATGGCACGATCTTACAAAACCATGGCACGATCTTACAAAACCATGGCAAGATCTTACAAAACCATGGCAAGATCCTGCAAAACCATGGCACGATCTTACAAAACCATGGCAAGATCTTACAAAACCATGGCAAGATCTCACAAAACCCTGGCAAGATCCTGCAAAACCAAGGCAAGATCAAGATTAATTAGGGAAAAAAACATAGATACACTCTGTTGCAGTAAAAAAAAAACTTTATTAACGTTTGGTTAGATTAAGGGCATTCTCTATGTTTTTATTTGTATGCAAAAAATGTTAAATCAAAGTATTGTTTTGTTACTGTTCTGTTTTATCATCTGTGGTGTTTATTACATCGCTTCATGTTTCCTCCGTTTTTCTTTCTTCATATTTCTGCCTATGTGAAGCATCCATGATCACTTGGTGTTCTTGGTGTGAGTGTGACTTTTTATCCTGTCCTCGCCAAACTTGATATTGCATGAGTACATCTAAATGTTAAAAAAATATTATATAATATTGCATATATTTTATTCTGCGTCTAAGGCCTTGCCATGAAGTTAGGTAAGTTTATTGGACCTGCATTGATCAGCATAACATAAATTCTTACCAAACAATTCAGTGACTGTTTTGGCATCCAAATGTTGCTTGCTGGATTCTGTTACATTGGATTCTGTCTTGCATCTCAGCTTCAGCCTTCAGTGAAGATGTGGCTCAGCAATTTGATTGCGCACTTTGATGGCTTTAATATTCATCAAGTTAATACGGTTGTGCCACTAGAAGAATAATTGATCATTAAAATCATGATACATGGCCATAATAGATCATTTTTTGAATACTTTACATCTACTTTATGCCCTATTTGTTACAACCTGTTATTTTTTTATATTTTGTGATTTCAAAAAAAGTTCTCTAATAACTTGAGAATGCATGAACATTGCGAATCTTCTTCGCTATGAAAATTTTTGCGAATTTTCCGTAATTATGTAAACCTACCAATATTCATAATGCATCCAATGAGAAGAAGTGAGTCCTTGTCGGGCTCGAATGTTTAAAATAATGAAGGCTTTATTTGAATGACAATCCCGTCCAGCCAACGCTAAACTACCGCTTGCAATTATAGTCCTATAGTTTCACGATAATGAAAATGCTATATTACGAGATAGTGCGGCCCGTTTCCTTCACTGCCGCCGGTAATTCCTGTACAATTTAAGTATAACTAAAACTATAAGTCAAAACCAGTTTATGCTACCAGCATACAAACCAGCAATAAAGGGTTAATTTTATCGTGTTTATACTAAACCACTTACCCGTTGTTACAAGTTATTCCTCCGCTTCTTTTCATATCAAAACTGATTCACTTCAGTATAGAACCATCTGTATGTTACTTGGCTTTCGAATGATACTTTATGTGCGTTGGTTTGTAAATCCGTGCTTCTTGCGCCTTTGCGCCAACGGTAGCAACGGTGTGAATATTCAAATTTCAAAATATGTGCCGCCGCAGGCGAGGTATGTTATCAATTTAACCATAGCGTGCACGAATGTAATTGATACCAGCTGTGATTATTGACGTTTGTGGTACTTAGAATGTGATAATGAAATTAAACTGGCAGGCAAGAAACTTGCTCCATTAAGATTTGTCCCATGCAGTGCTTCCACTCTAATATTTTAAATTTCCTGGAATTTAGGTCAAAATTTCCTTAGATTTCCTTGCCCAAGCTGTAGAATTTCCTTGAAATTTCCTTGAAATTTTTGAAAAGCTCTCAGTCAATTAAAACCAATTTAACTCGTTACACATTAGAAAACAATGCAATATGCTCTCATTCATTAACTTTTAAGCTTTAATTAAATATCAACAGTTTTGACATACAAATCAGGTGCATGCAGCATGATGACCAAATATATTAAACAATGTGCAACAAAAAAATTCTTAATTGTCTGCATAGTTACATCCTCATAAAGAATCAATGATCAATATCGGCCCTATGTCATTGGCCAAACGTGTCTAATTACCCCCCGAAACGTTGTTTAAACTAAACAAACGCAAAATATTTTGCATGCTTCATTTCCTTCAAGCTTGAACACAAATGCGGTATGCCAAATGGCAGTAATTCTAATGTATTTTATATCAATCTGCCCCATCATGCGATGTTCATCTTTTTTAAAAAGTCTTTCCTTAGCTGGTTGACATCATCATTGTCAGCATTAGTCACCATTTTCTTGTGAAGATTAAGCATGTCCCTTGAAGGTACAAGTTTTACAGATGAGTTGTTGGATTTCAAAAGAGTTAATTTTGTTGTTAATAAAGCCAGTAAACTTTCTTGCTTTAAACAAGATCTGTGGTCTGTTTTGATTAACTTTAATTGGCTAAACACTCTTTCAACTCCAGCATTGGAATATGGTAGTGACAACAAAACTTTCAGGACTTTGACTAAATTTGGTCTGGCAAGTTCATGTTCATTTACTGATTTTCTTTCATGAAAAACAATTTGCCAGTATTCCTCTGGGGTGAGATCTTCATTCAACTTGGGATTCATAGAATGACTTCTCCATTCTTGGTCTACTTTTTGCAAATCAGCAACCTCTTCAAGGATGGGCATTTTCCTATATAGTCCACTTAATGAAGGAATCTTCAAATTGTAAGCATTTATTGGTAGAAGGCAAGAAACAAGATTATGTAGTTGGTAGCAATCACTGAATCGGGATTGGATTTGCTTCACAGCCTCAATCAAGAACTTTTGACACTGGGAATAAACAAGAGTAATACTTGGATCACTACTGCCAATCTCTTCTCTAATGGTAGCCATGGTATCTGTTGCTAAAACACCGAGATAAACTTTATCCAGAGACAGGTGCTTGTCTTTTTTGCATGGATCAATCTCCAGACCATCTTTGCTTCTGATATATTCTACATCCATAAAATCAAGACACATAGCCTTAATGAGACTATCCACTGAACCTTTTAGCTGATGAAGCTGTGGCATTTCACTCTGGAACAGCAAGTTGAAAGACACAAATCTGCCTAAATAGATAAAAAACAACTGAGCATTTCATGATTTCAATAAACAAACTCAAAAAACCACTTGCATTGCATTATGATAATGACAAAATAGCAAAATTTACAAAATTATTTCATTTGTAATTTCAGAATTTTACCTAAATTAAAGTCCATAAATTCCAGATAGACTTGATAGAACTTGTTGTTCAGACTTGCCAGAATTGCATCATGAGTATTGTGGGATCTTCAAATGCAACATTTGTAAAGTAGAGCTTTAAGGCATCATACTGCTCGAGGATTCTTTTTACACAAGCTTTCATGGATAACCATCGTGTATAACCTAGAGTTTAACAAACAAAAGTGAAAATTGAAGCTAGTTTAATCCTTTATTTTAAACTGAATTGAATTGTGTAATGTTTATTCATTATTTGAAACTTTTACTGCAACATTACCTGGGCGCAAAATTTTCAGCTCGTCTAAATCAAGAAACTGTTGGAACTCTTTAAATGCTTCACTTCTTTTACTTGACATGCTGAAATGTGAAAATATGTTCCTGCAAAGGTCTTCAACGTTTTTAGGAAAAACTTTTGATGCATGGGAACTGCACAGATGAATCAAATGACTGCTGCATTTGATTGGAATTATCCATGGATGATCTTTTATTAGCATCTGGGAAACTGAATGATTGGTGCCAAACATGACATTGCACGTATCTGAACAGAAGCCAACAACGTTCTTCATAGGAATGCCTCTTTCTTTTAAGCTGTCCAGTAATGCCTTGTAGATGGTGTCTGCAGTTCCATCTGAGAGTGGAATAAGATCGACTAGAATGATTTCAAGTTTAAATGTTTCTTCATTAAAATAGACCGCAAGTATGGCGAGTTGAGACGTTGTTGATTTATCCGTGGTTTCGTCGATAATCAACGAGAATTTGTTGTTTTTAAGCTTAAAAACACAATCTTTAATGGCATGAAAGCCAAGTACTTGCCGAATTATATTGGTGGCCTTTTGTTTTCCTAGCTTAACTTCACGGAGAGCTAGATCGGAAGGGAAAAGGTTTCGTAGCAGGGGTACAAGATCTTCCACAATGCTGATTGGAAGATTTTTTTCGGTTATGAATGAACAAATTTTGATCTCAATCCTTGCTGGATTTGGACGTGTTTCAAACACAGTAGAGGTTATTGGTGCGTTTACTTGCTCTTTAATTTTACACAAGTCCTTGTGTTTTTTGTTCTCCATATGCCGTTTTAATGCGGTTTTGGCGCAGGATAGGGAGCAATTACATATCTTGCAGTAGGGTGCATCTCTTCGCCTTTCCAGCCAATGTTTGAACTGGGGTTCAGACAGCCATGAGTTCAAAAACTTTTGGTTGTATTTCTTCTTTTTAGTGACAGGTTTGTCCCTTGGTTCACCTTCGTTCAGAAGGTCCGAATCTGAGCCATCTGACTCATTATTGTTTATAGATCGCTTCATGATTTATTCATAAACACGCCTCATATACCATTTGCTCTCATATTTTTTTCGGTTTCCCGCGTTCAAGTACGCACAATACTTCATGTAATGTTTTTGTTCCAAAATAATGTTTTAAAAAAATTATTACCAATTAGTTAGCACATAAAAAAATTGTCGCTAAATCAGTAAATCATGTCAATTTATCGACAACTGCAAGTCTCTAAAAAGTTTTAAATATATCTCTACTGATAACTGATTTCTCTACTGTATATTTATCGTATGTAGACAGTAGACTGTAGACTATTTATGATTTATCATATTTCCTTAGATTTCCTCAAACTTCCTTAGATTTCCTTGATTTTTACACATCCTTGAAAATTCCTTCTGGGGTTCAAAATTTCCCTGAAAAAGGAAATTTCCTTGAAAGTGGAAACGCTGGTCCCATGCAAGATGATGGAGGAATCTTCCATCACCGTAAAATCTTTGCTTGATCACGGTAAAACCTTGACAAGATCACCATGAAATCTTGGAATGATCGCCGTGAAGTTTTGGCAAGATCATAAGGAAATCTTGGCAAGATCATGCTGGATTCTTAATTAGTAGGATCACCGAGTAATCTTGGCAAGATCATGCTGGATTATTGGCAAGATCACGGGTTAATATCTCACATGTAGCAAGATCATACCAAGATCTTGTCAAGATCATACCAAGATCTTAGCAAGATCGTACTAAGATCATATGTAGCACGATCACACCAAGATCTTGTTAAGATCATATCAAAATCTTTGCAATATCATAGCGAAATCCATACCAAGATCTACCAAGATCTGAGCAACAACACGCCAAGATTGGCAAGATCATACCAAGATCTTCGCAAGATCATACCAAGATCTTAGCAAAATCATACCAAGATTTTAGCAAGATGATACTAAGATCATATATGTAGCAAGATCATACCAAGATCTTAGCAAGATCATACCAAAATTTTACCAAGATCACACCAAGATCTTAGCAAGATCATACCAAGATCTTACCAAGATCACACCAAGATCTTGACAAGATCATACCAAGATCTTAGCAAGATGATACTAAGATCATATGTAGCAAGATCATACCAAGATCTTAGCAAGATCATAGCAAGATCTTAGCAAGATCACACCAAGATCTTAGCAAGATCATACCAAGATCTTAGCAAGATCATACCAAGATCTTGACAAGATCATACCAAGATCTTAGCAAGATGATACTAAGATCATATGTAGCAAGATCTTAGCAAGATCATACCAAGATCTTAGCAAGACCACACCAAGATCTTAGCAAGATCATACCAAGATCTTAGCAAGATCATACCAAGATCTTGGCAAGATCATACCAAGATCTTAGCAAGATCACACTAAGCTCATATGTTACAAGACCATACTAAGATCTTGGCAAGATCATACCAAGATCTTGGCAAGATCATACCAAGATCTTGGCACGATCATACCAAGATTTTAGCAAGATCACACCAAGATCTTGGCAAGATCATACCAAGATCTTGGCACGATCATACCAAGATTTTAGCAAGATGATACTAAGATCATATATGTAGCAAGATCATACCAAGATCTTAGCAATATCATACCAAAATTTTACCAAGATCACACCAAGATCTTAGCAAGATCATACCAAGATCTTACCAAGATCACACCAAGATCTTGACAAGATCATACCAAGATCTTAGCAAGATGATACTAAGATCATATGTAGCAAGATCATACCAAGATCTTAGCAAGATCATAGCAAGATCTTAGCAAGATCACACCAAGATCTTAGCAAGATCATACCAAGATCTTAGCAAGATGATACTAAGATCATATGTAGCAAGATCATACCAAGATCTTAGCAAGATCATACCAAGATCTTAGCAAGATATTCATATCAAAATCTTGGCAAGAGGATACAAGATTTCAGCCAAGAATTTCCAAGATCTTCACATCTTGGCAAGATCTTATAAATATCTTGCCAAGATCTTACTATTTCCAAGATCTTGGCAGGATCTTTCATGCACACTTTCTTTGATGTAGCCTATCATGGAAACATCTTCACATTAATACTGTAAGGCGTCAAGACCCTACTTTTGAGACTTTGTAATGAGATTTGAATTTCAATGTTTCATACATGTCCAAACGTACATATACGCTACATGTGCCAGTAAAATATAATTTAATTGGATAATGTATGGTGGTGCAAGGATGAAAATTAAACTACAATTTAGATATGTACATAGCATTGTTTGAAGTCCAAACAACATGCCGTTCCTGTTAGGCTAAAAATTAATTCTTGAAGGCTATAAATGGGAAGCTGGAACACGCAGTGAGAACACAATTCACAAATTAAAGCTGAAACACAATTCACAAATTGTAACCAGGCAAACTCTAATTGCAGTGATGCAAAAATTACAGTACAATTTTACAATTTTTTTTCAATGTAATTTGTGAATCCTATTTGATTTAGTGATTTTGAAACCTGTTTTCATTGAAATTGCCATTTAAATAGTACATTGTAGCTAGATTGGCTGTGTGAGTGTAGGAAGAAACTTTAAAATATACAATTTGCCCTGCAGAATCATACTAATGTTATCACTTAATTAATAGCTCCACATATAAACCTTCTTATAAACAACTAAAACCATCAGAACTGGTTAATTTACTGCACATCTCTTTAAATTAACATAAACACAGCAGAGCAATTGTAGAATACCTCCCAACCCAACTCTTACCAGTGAGTGCCATATAGAACAACCTTGTTTTATATCTTACTTGATGCATTAATTGGGCTTTCACAGAACAAGAATAAACACTATTTTTATGCACAGTTCTATTGATTGTCTTTAACGTAATGCACTGTTGGCCTGGTATTCTATAATTGTACCAACACAGCCAGTACCTAGCTGTAACATACCCTATACCTACTCCTAAGGCTTATGCTGTATTACGTACTCGCTTTTGTTAACTTGGTTTGAATGTGTCTACTTGCTTTTGTGAACTTGCTTTCAATTTTTGCCTGAAAGTTTGAAAGTTTATTACAATATCTTAAAGTTCGTCCCTATAATTTCGTTTAGAAGTTCTTGTTTACATTTTCGATAAGCTTAGTTAGTTAGTTAGAGTCTTTATTTCAAGAGGGTAGTACGTAATAGTGCAGAAGCACTAATAAACTTGTAGCCCTTAAATGACAAAAATACAACAATTTCTAAAATACAGTATTTATCTATATATTTACAAATTTACTATAAAATATGATTCAGTATATATAATACAGTTAAAAATGGCTAAGAGATTGTTGGTGTGCATGTAAAATTTCAAGATATTTATTCTTAAAAATACGGACATTCAAATGCCGTCTTAAGTTTAGCGGTAGGCTGTTCCAAAGTTTAATTGTGGTTACACTAAAAGTTCTACCTCCTTCAGTTTCCCTTTTATACTTTGGACTGATGAAGTTAACTTCAGCGTATCTTGTATTTCTGGAATGTTGCTCACGATTTAATTTTAGTGCTTCACGTAAGTAAGGAGCAGTATCGCCATTTATGCTTTTATAAGCAAATACAGCTTTATTTACCTTACTTTCCTCATAAAATGGGAGCCATTTCAACCGGTTAAAGAGTAGGATTGTCGATGACATATAAGGAGCGTCTAAGATAATTCTCGCAGCCCTCTTTTGCAACTTAAACACCATGTCCAGATAGTCTTTTCGACAACTTGTCCACACAGTACTCGAATACATCATAATGGGCTTAATGACATGATTGTAATAAAGGAGTCTTTGATAAGCAATTGATTAGCTATATAATTTCGAATCAGCCAATATCACAACGTTAGATTTAAATTAGAAATGAACTTCTAAAGGAAGTTAGGAGCGAACTTTGGAACATTGTCGCAATGCACTTTCGAACTTTTAGGCGAACATTCGTCATTCGAATACCAATGACTATATGAATCAACAGTACTAATCCGATTAAAGCAAGTGGTGATGCATGTTGCCTCAATATTTCGTAACTTTTTCCTACAGATCCGATAACCTTTTGTTGCCAAAAACTCCATCCAAGAAACGACGTCAACGTAAGTTTGCCCGAGGCTCGATTGGCAAAGAAAACACAAACCCCGTCGTCCACGGTGTCCCAGACGAGCCTCCCCCTGTCAAGCGGGTAACGCGAAGCTCAACAAGGCGGAATAATAACGACTCACAAATCCAGGAGGTACCGTTAAAAACACGGAACACCAGGGGGCAAAAGAAGAAATCTTCTGAGGTGGCAAAAGCTGTGGAATCTACAGTCACTTTTGTCGATGACAGTAAACTGAGTAAAGTAAAAATATCCGATGAGGTTGTCGAACTTTCGGCAGAAAATATTGGAAAAGAAACAATATCGTCCAGCAATACTTTAAAACGAGTCTCGTCAACAAGCCCGGATTCAATCAAGCCGATGAAAAAGAAATCTAAGTCTAGCGACGAGTACTTGGCTGACGTGGAAAACTTTTCATCTGATGAAAAAACCTCAACTCCCGTTAGTACCCAGCCCCCGCAAGCACTCGAAAAGCCATACGTGAGTGCAATTGTCGTCGAGTCAGAGACTGAGGAACAATCCAACACGAAAGAGGTCTTTAGCGTGCCTGAAGAAAACAACCCGAAACAGCTTACATCCGAAGGAGAAGGTATGAATCAAGTCGAAAACCTGGATGTGGGAACCAGTGAAAACAATGTCAATCTTCTTGTCGAAATTGATAATAGTAGCAGTTGTAACAAGCTTGGAGGAGCTAGCATGGTCTATCTCGCGAACAAACTCGACCCCCGCACACCACCCCCACCTAAAGTGTGTATTAAACCCGAGATAGGAACTTTGGTGAATTTCGATGAGACTGTTGACAAAACCAAATACGATGCTGAAACAACTTCTCCTGTTGTAAAAGAGACGCCGGAGAAGATTGGTGACGAGATGGTTAACGAACATGTGCCAAATTCACCAATGATTGTCGATTCCTCTTCCACGGAGGAGGAAGGTTTGGTTGGAGATACGGAAAATGCAATTCAAGATAGTCAGTTATTTACTCCAGTTGAGGTAAAGACCTTACGCCGTAGCAAGAGGCTATCAAAACAAATTTCAAATGAACAAACATGTGAAACATTACCAATACACATCAAGAAGGAACCACGTAGTCTCTCAAACGATCTTCAACACGTCGTCGTTGAAGAGTCATCAGATTCCCAGGAAGAGGTCGTGATGTTCAAACCAGCCGAAAGCAAACCGTTAAGGCGTAGTACCAGGCTATCCCGGCGGGTCAGCCGCGTATCTACTGGACTGCACAACAGGCGATCCAGCCGGAGATCAGGTCGTAATTCTGCGTACTTTAAAAAGCCTTTGCCGCAAAAACAGATTGAGGTTCGTATTGATGATATTGGGGTTGAACAGATCAAGGCTGGTGTTATAGCAGTGTCATCAAATAGCGAGGAATCATCGACGGAATCGGATAACGAAAATCAGAAGGTGTCGGATAGCTCAGTTTTTTCATCCACAACTACCCCGCAGCGAAGGTATGTTATTCATGTAAACATCGTTTATCATATATAAAGTATAAAGTCCAAGATGATTTTTGTTTTGTTTTGCATCAATTAGACCAGATTTATTTCGATCACTAATTTTTATTTTAAAAATATTCGATCTTTTCTTGCTGTTATGAACGACGTATGTCGGTATGAACTTAATATTCTCCTGTTCATTTTCTCCTGCGCAAGCATTTAAGTTTTTAGATTGAAGAAATGATTTATTCCTGCTAAATACAAATATGATACCAACATTTGATTTGGTTTTCTTGATGTTTCAGTTTTAAGACAGACTCACCCAGTGCCGAAGTGATCATCAAACCATCGGTATGTTGTAAATCAAAATTATCTATTTTATACTGTACTTGTAGTCTTGTCTTGGCTGTTTCACATCCTCATCCTAATTAAACCGTTTTAAAAAAGGTTTGAAAACGGCGCTCGTGTGCATATAGCCTAATTGACATGTATCTTTGCTCCCTCCTTTCAAAAAGCTGCGAAGGAAGGGTTAACTTGAAAAAACGATTTATTTCTACTCTGTTTAGGAAAAGAAAGTGGCTGGAATGGTCAAAAAAATTAATAGCAAAGCCCAGAAGAACGAGCAGTCAAGGTGCTGTCCGGTTCTAAATTGCCTTGAAAGCTTCAGTATGATAATAAGTCAGTAACTATAGTTGTCACCCTGAATGGAAATCATTATATGGAATTTAGTAACGAATCAACTTTTGTTTTTTGTAGTATGTGTAAAACACCAACTGCAATGCGAAAAGTTAAAAGACTTGGGTCCGCTGTGCCTGGTTCTTCCAATAAGCTTTCAAATCTGGTTGGTGGGAATGTTAGATCTTTCATTACACGACAGTCAAGTGTTAAAAGACTTGATCCCAATGTAAGTTCACATAAGAATGCTAAGTGTCACTTTAGTGATTTTCTGTCAAACTGTTTAGTTCTGTCGTTTTGAGGTGACGTTTGTCTTTCCTCAAAACTTCAACACAGCCTAGCTCCCACGGCCACGGTAACTACAAAACTAAACTATCTAAAAAAATACAGGAGGTTGTACGTAAAAAGAAACTGGAGTTACAGCGTAAGGAAGAGAAGGAAAGGGAAAGGAAAGATCAAGTGGAGTTAAGGCGGAAGAATTGGGCAGAAGAGCAGAAACGGTAAAATATAGGACGTGTTTTAGGGCAAAATATTGCGGGGTGATTTTGTTCGATCTGAAGTAATGTTGTTTACTATAATTCTCTCGAATTGTTCGGTGATTGCTCTTGATTTTTTCAAACTGTTCCCGTTTAGAAAGCGCCAAGAAAAGGAGAAACGTGTCGCAGAGGCAAAGGCAGCGAGAGAACGCGAAGAACAAGATAAGAAACAACGACAGCTTGAAGAAAGAAAACAAATGGCTCATGCTTTGGAACAGGCCAGGAAGAAGCGAGAGCATGGTGAGCTATTTGTTGATTTTTGTTTGTCAATTTTACAGAATTATATATGAAAGAGAACCAGGTGAATATGAAGCGAAGCAAAAAAAACTATGGTTCCAAAATATTGTTTTTTCTTTTGTATCTTGTTTACCTTTGACGTTCCGGCTGCGAGAATGGTGTCGCACGATTGTCGGCACGTGTACAATCTGCATTTATGTAACCAGATTGTTTTTACAGAGGAAGAAACGAAGAGGCGATTACGCGAACAACGCACTCGTGAGGCAGAGTCGAGAAGATTCAAGGAGAAAGAAGATAGAATGAAACGTCTTCAGGAAAAAGAAAACGAGGAGAATATGTATCGAGAAATGTTAAAACGAAAACAGGTGCGAGCTATATTTTGACTTTGGTATTTCGTTCTGGTGATTTGCTGTGAAATTTTAGCCTCTTTTTATTGAAAAACGAATATGTTGATATATGAATTATCCTTGATATGAAAGTTAATTTCTTACATTTGATTGGTGTGAAACCGTAAATAGATTGCAAATAGAATGCGGAAAAAATTATGTTACAAAAAGTTCATTGGCTCCGCAAAACTAACGAGCTGATCAAAATTTGTATAACCCCAAACTTTCCGCGGTTGATGTCGCTATGAGAAAGGCCTATTATTTTCGGCGCCCTAGCTCTATTTGCTCTTGGTCCTAATAAGATTTTAATTGTCATTATTTGAAAAATGCTTTAGTTTGTCTATATTTATAGTTAATAGCGTTTATTTCAACATCATACTTACTAAAAACGCTTCAAAGGAACATTTTTCTTGGCCAGTTTCTTTTTGTTTAAATTGAAATATACACAGACTTGCCTTTTAAGGTAATTCTGCTGTAATTGTTCCCTAAATGAGAATGCGCTGAAACTTTCCAGGGACCGGTTGTTTAAAGCTGGGTTAGTGCTACTGGTTAGCGCTAACCCTGGTTAAATTTTACTCCGCCGTTTTGGTTTATATGCTTCTGCACCGCTGTTTGTTTTAAGACTTTACAAAATAAGACTTTTATTGATCCACAAAATATTTATGAAAAAACATGTTCAACTTAATAAACAAGCGATTAAAACCGGATTTGAACAACCGACCCGTTCTAGTTTATGACATGTACAAAGTAAAAACACAAAGGAAAGTTAGAAGATTTGACAAGCACAATTCATCACGTTTTTGCAATATGGCGCCATTTTTAATTAATTTCGATATACAAGAAATATTTATTTCCAGTTGCACAACTGTAATTGAATTTATCGATGATCGTATCGTAGTATATCCTTCTATAAGTGGTAATATACAGGAGAAAAGGATATTTCAGTGAATTAAAAAGCCACTGACGTGATTTTTTTGGGGGGCCGAACTGATTTCTTTTTTTCAAATTCAGACATTTTTTTCCAGAGTTTGGGCAAAAGGTTAGATATTACGAGTTGTAAAAGTGATTTTTCCATAAACTCTGGTATTGACACATAAAATTATTCGGAAAACATTGATAACAAAAAAATAGTCCTTACCGACCTTTTTCGCGAGTTACATAGGTAGACATAAAATAATTTATTCGTACAGGAAACTGTATAGGTAAACCTATTCGATTTTTATTCCCTTATAATGCACGAACAACAACATTTCTATCAAACTTTTTTTTTACTTGAAACATCCATACAGCAACATCATTATTACAGCATAATTAATGTTTATTAATTTACCTGGTTTTGGATATGCGCAGTAAGAGTGCGCAATGCAAAACTGGAGAATTACCCTAAGTGCGAAAGATTCTTTCCTCTTGTTCTTACGGCATCTAATTCGAGTTTGGAATTTTATTTACGCAGGAGCAGGAGGAACAAGAGCGTAAACAAAGAATACAGGAGGAGAAACGTCTTAACGAGCAGAAACAACGCGAGCGCGCCCGTGAAAAGGAAGAAGAGAGGGAGCGAAAGATTCGGGAGATCAAAGAAAGAGAAGCGAAAAGAATTGAAAAAGAAGAACTTGAAAAGAAACAGATTGAGGAGATGGAAAGAAAGGAAAAAGAAGATAAGGAAAGAAAACAAAGGTAAGCAATATGAATATCGTAATGAAAGATATTAATATTTTCATATAGGAACAAAGAAATTTGGAGTTCCACTTTTGTCTGACACCTCATGAAGTGTGAGGAGATGAGAAGTAATTTTTTCCTAGGAATCTTCCTGGTAAACTTGAAAGTGAAATTATTAATTTCTAGCATAAAATGAAAATTTAGTTAATGTTGAGAATATATTACTGCTGTACGAATGATATCGATGCAACAGGTTAATTAGTTTGCTGGGGGTTTTTTTATTCGAGCAGGGTATATTAATCAATGCCTGTGGCTAACAAGAGGTGAAAATGCTAAAAATTACCAACATTTTGTGTTAAAACGTCGACAGGGAACAAGAGGAACGCGAAAAGAAACGCATTGCTCAGTTGATAAAGGACAAGATGGAGCAAGAAAAGAAATCTCACGAAGAAAAGCAGAAGAAGGAAGAAAAAGAAAGGTATGTATTCTCTGGTTTCACTGCGATTTAGAATTATGACACTGCATCATGTGATATGACACTACATCATGTGATATGACACTACATCATGTGATATGACACTGCATCATGTGATGTGACACTGAATGTTTTGATATGACACTGAATGATATGATGTGACACTGGATGTTTTGATATGACACTGAATGATGTGATGTGACACTGAATGATGTGATGTGACACTGAATGTTTTGATATGACACTGAATGATATGATGTGACACTGAATGTTTTGATATGACACTGAATGTGATGTGACACTGACTTGATGGGACACTGAATCACTGATATATTATTACACTATATAGAGCTTCAAGGAGCTTCTAACTTAAAGGAAAACGGCTTTCAGAACTAAAAAATTATCACTGCAGTATATGCAATAAATAAATGTAATATTAGGGTGGTTGTCTATACTGTAAATAAAGATAACAGTCACTCAAATCGTTGTTTTCTTCTAGGCGAGAACGCGAAGAGCAGAGAAAACGGGAGGCAAATCGTTTGGCAATGCTTCAAGCAGCAAAGAACCCTGACTCCTACCTCATGACACCGCCACCAGCCCAGACGAGAAAACCTCCTACGAGCGAAAACTATGATATAAGTGATATACGCAGTGACGAGTCGACCGACGACGAAGATGCCCCGCGGAAAAAGGTCCCGTACTGGGCTCAGGGACACGCTTTGAAAGCTGTCCTATTACAGCAAGACGAGCCACGTCGCATTTTTGAGGAACTCGCTTCCGGGTTCGTGCCGCACGCACCGGACCTCGAGAAAATATTCACTAAAAAACGAAAGCGTTTCTATCAGCGTACAAGTTCGGCCCACTGGAGCTCGCCACCTATCAAGATTTAAAAGGTTTTGTAGGCCAAATGTTTGAGGTTTCTGCGTGGAACTGTGAGAGCGAATTTACAAAATACGATTAGTCTTGTGCGGTCCTAACTCCGATGTCATTAGTCGTCGGTACAAACGTCAAATTTCGTGATCTGGCATCGTGTAAATGGGCCTTTGTACATAAATGAACCTCCTGTAAATATTTTAAACATCCCGCTCAGAACAGTTCCGCGGCAAATCAAAAGTGCACATAACGGCCGATCTACACGATGCGATTTGTCGTATACAATTCACATACTGGCGCATGTATTCGAATAAATGCGTTTATATATGTCACATTTTAAACTTCGTTATAAACTAATGAAAAGAAAGAGTGGCGTCAGCAATCTTTTTCATGCGTCAGGATAAGAGTGGTATTTGACTACTCGCATCGTGTAGATCTGCCTTAACATTGCAAGCTGCAAGAAGGCTTGTGATTAACCTGCAATCAGGCTGTAATTGCCTGCAATCAGACTGTAATTCTCGGAATAACTTATAGAGAACCAGCCATTATAGAATGTTTTTATTAATGGAATATCAACTTTATCAACATATAGTCTGAAGATATTAAACGAAACGTTATTGGTGGTGCCGGGGCTGGTTGCTCTTTTGATGGGTAACGCAAATTATCAAATCTTTCATCGCATTGTTTTTATTCGTGTTTGTCTAATAATTGTTGTTCCTCGGGTTTTTCTTAAAAATAGTCGAACTTCGAATTTTTATTCTATTTAAGTAGAATATTTCAATGTAAACTGTAAATATATTCAATATAATCTCTCAAGTCTTATTAACCTTTTACTCCCAGATCTTATACACAACAAGACGCCTGTTCTGGCGTTAACTCCGGCGCACGTGCCAGTCTTCAATATAGAGCTTCTGAACATAAACAATACAGTTCATATTCGCATTTAGATGCCTTGCGAACCTAAATGTTCGATCGCGAAATTCAGAAGCACATCGTACTTTAAAAAGTATAGAAGTTAAATCGTTCAAGAATGTAAATAAACGGTATGATACATTCACTTTGTCTTACACTTTGCCTTTGGAATTCGCGCTTATATAGTTATATTAAATCTTCAATCCTGTGCAAACTACGACGAGTCAAAGCGCCCATACACGACCACATCATCTTGTTAAACGGCGAAATAGCAGCGATATTACTAAAATAGGACCAGAGTCTACACGTATTAAATATATTCTTACCCCAATTCAGTCTAAACTTAATCGAAAAGCATGAAAAGAACGGTTTATTTGTTCCTCTTGGAGGAATTGCCGTATCATGCGAGCGAAATCGAATCGCGCATCGGAAAATTAGCCAAAGCTGTGCACCACAACTCTTGGGAGACAAGACTGGGACATAGATAAATCCAATCACATACACATTTTAAATACTAGAATGTTTCGCGCCATTACAGACTTGCGACGACGAAAAATAATAAAAAAAAACAATAAAAAAAAAAAAAAACAAAACCGAGGCGAATTTTCAACTCCGTCGCTGACGCCGGAGTAATTATCCTGAGGATTAAGGGGCGGATTGTCCTTGTCGCAACTAATTTTAGTCAACGCGTTCTTGGTGGAACTGATCAACTGCCTATAACAGTAGCGTCGACATAAACAAGCACCTGTGAATGACCCAGAAAATTATTCATGTTCAAAGCCTCTAGAGAGAAAGAACCGACACTCCTCCCGTTTACTATAATGTTTTATTCGGTTTGTGTTTGTCTTCCCCTTCCAGCAATCTCGTGCCTCAAGATTTTGGTGATCGATGCCACGGAAATCACCTGTTACTGTTCCAGTTGTAGATGCGCTCAGAGGTCAAATCATGTGATCAAATCAAGTCTCAAAGTTCGTAAAATTGCTGACATTTTTCACGGCGCAAAACGGAATCAAATTACGAATCGGATAAAAAAATTTGAAACAAAAAAAATCAAAACAATATGGTCGTCGAGTAATGCGCGTTTCAAGGTATAGACCCGTAGTTTACCTACAATTATCACTCCTTTTCTTTGATATTTTTATCAATTCCTTTGGGGACTTATTCCGAGCTGAAGATGTCATCCTTTTAGTGCTGTTTATGTAAGTATTTGAGTGTTTTTTCGAGAGATTTAAACACGTTATTAGGCGCGAAATTTTGAGTTTCTGTTGTTTTGCCAACGTACGTTGTAAACAAATTTTTCGTTGTTATTGTTTTTAAATTTTTATCGGTTCAATTCGCTTTGTGAAAGTGTTTGCGAACGTCGTTTGTTTGGGGTTAATCGTTATAAAGGTCTAATTGGATGAATGATCTGTCTAATTCTGAGCGTTATAGGATATGTTTACAAGATAGCACTGTTTTATATAGCTCATTCGAAACATTAAAGGAATATCTGTTTGGTGAATAGTATCTTGCTAATCATTAGCCTTTACAGTCATTAAACAGTGGTACAGAGCAGCAAGCAGATAGTGGTAAACTACTGTCACAGATTGTTTTAAGGGCATAGTCACAATGTTTGTGAGAATTCTAACTGCAAATTCACTTAGGATGAATTGTTAAGAAATTATAATAAAATGTTAGGGGTAAGGTTGTATTTCTGCCAAATCGATAATTCAAAATGGTTCAAGTGAAGTTAACATGATCATGCTTTTAGCAAATATTTTATTATGCGTGGTAGCAATTCAGGCCAAAGTGGTAACCTTAATGTGCTTGCTTGCATCAGTTGCATGCTGACATACAATTCACCAATTCAATGGTGTATAATTAAATTTAAACCCTCTTTGCAAAGTTGTAGAAACATATGTTTGCAACTTGCCAGAATCTTGGTTTTCACTGTGTCCTATCTCTCAAGTTTCCTCATGTTTTTTATATATTGGAAATGTCTAAATTTTTATTTTAGCATTCAAGATGTTTGTATTCTGTTTGCATTGATTGTTGTCTTCCTGGTGTTTTTCAATACATATATATTCCAAGCTGGACTTGTGTTTTTATTAATAAGAAAGTTTAAGACAACTATAATTATAACTGTTTCATATCTGTTGCTCTCACTGGGTCTGCATGTGTGGACAATGGTAAGTAAAAACTGCCTGATACAGAGTGTTCACAACATATGCAATTCTAATTAGATTTCGAGTATCTATCTATGTATCTATCTGCGGCCAACGTTTTTGCAAATGGGTGTATATATATATATATATATATATGTATATATATATATATATATATATATATATATATACAGGGTGTATCAAAAAAAAGGTAATCCAACTTTGGTGCGCTATTGTACGTGAACTACTCATTCTATTAACGAATTTTTTTCACATTCCGAAAGGATATGCTTTTAACTATCGAATGACATGTTTTTGATACCAAATGGTGAAAAAATGAGCAAATAGGAGGCTGATAAAAATTGTTAGTCGAAATCGCATATTTTCACCTCTGAGAGTTGGGACTAAAACCATTGAAAATTAACTCTCTTTGGGACTTTTGCTTTTGAATAAACTACCTGCATATGCATATTAAGTAGGAATAAGGAGAACATTCCAAGCAATGCGGCATAAAACCAGTGCAAGCTGTGACATGCTCATGATTAATTGTTTTTTTCTTTTGTTATGCACTGCTTTAATTAGGCTCAAAGGTGAAAATATGCGATTGCGACTAACATTTTTTATCAGCCTCGTATGTGCTCACTTTTTCACCATTTGGTATTAAAAACATGTCATCCGATAGTTAAAAGCCTGATCTTTCCGAATGTGAAAACAATTCGCTCATAGACTGAGTAGTTCACGTACAATAGCTTGTTGAAGTTGGATTACCTTTTTTTTGATACACCCTGTATATATATATATATATATATATATATATATATATATATATAACAAAGACTTCTATTGCAATGCACATTTGATTAAGGCATTTTAGACAACACTCTGTATATATACATCAATACATGTAAAATCTTTGCTTGATGATTTTAATAAGTTTCAATGTTTTCTGACCTCCGAATATTTGCTTCAATTAGGAAAAAAGCACAATCCTATCATCTTTATATTTATCCTATCATATTTATATCTGATCATCAAATTCACACAATCCTGTCATATATGTACCCTTTCATAATGTGTCCACATTAGAGAGATAATGGTAAATATATTTGTAAATCTTGTTTAATTTTGTTCTTATTCATAGACAAGAAAATGGGGAGATCCAGAGGCGTATATATGGGATGGTGGATTTCAAGTTGTTTATGTTTTTCAAAGATTAGGTATAACTTACTAAAACTGACGTGTTTTCAACCTTTTACATTTGGGCTGCATATGAAAGTTTTCTTTCAAACTGAAAGCTTTACACTAGTGAGTGTAGCGAGCCTCCATGACAGGGTTTCCTAGTGCATCCTGATATATATTTTATATCTTGTTCTGGGCTGATGCCACCACTGTCGTGCATATTGATAGTTTTAAAGGTGTGATATTTTTGGAGCTATTCAATGAGCATTTTAAGACTTTACTAGTTGACTGTTGACTAAACAATGCTTAAATTAAATTAAATAATGATAAAGTTGATAAAATGATGACCACTATGCATTTTGATCAAAATGATTGTTTTAATACTCAATCCAATTATAATGATCAATTTTTTTCCTAGTGCCAGTCATAAAAAGATTAACTGGACTTAGATGCCCCCATGCATTAAAAAACCCCCTCAACTGTGTCAACCAACACTTAATATTTCTTATATAATCATTAGTTTCATCACCGACCTTCACTGAGGGAAGTATGTTATGCCCTGAGAATGAGTTGAAACTTATGTACTGCATATTTCATGGATTAAGACTTTCCCCTAAACAGCCTGGGAGTATTTTTAAGGTTAAGAGTGGTGTAATTTGATACATCAAGTGAAATAGGAATGACGTCAATTGAAAAGGACTTTGCAAAAGTCTAGTCGTGGATTATGATTTTTTCAGGATCAGTTTTTTGTGTTGTTATTACATAGAAGAAATCTTGTCTGAAACTTCGTAAGCCAAGAAATTTTACCCAAAGCCTTGCTTTATTGTTTTACCCCAACTTCGTTTCTATAACCCGTAGTTTTATCACCACTCTGCGCCTAGAAAAGAGAAAATGAGTTATGAGTGGATATTAAACTGCCATTACTGCACATTGTATTGTAGAATTTAGAATTCCCACAAAACCGCCTGGGAGTGTTTAATGCTGGTGTAAGCATTAATAGAAACAAGAAATTAAGATATTTCATTTGAAAAAGAGTTCGGAGAATTTGCAGAATCTAAGAATGGATAATCTTTTTTCAGGATCCGTTTTCTATTACTATTATTACAAGAGAACTTGTCTGAAACTTGGTGATCCAAGATTTTACCAGGAGTCTGAATGGTTACGAAAAGAGTTTTCAAGAGTACACTAAACGTATTAGCTACCACGCATCATCCAACAATCGTACGGAGTTGTGGTCAAAGGCCAATGGTACAATACCTTCTGAAAAGGGAGATGTATAGTCCTGTCCACTTTATCAGCGAAAGAATGTGTGTATATTTTGGATTCAGGATTCAGAATAGTTGAGCTTGGTCATATGTTTTAGTGGGTACTGGGTAGATGCTTTGTGTTTTTTGAATGGCGTGAATGATATTATATTCCACACGCGGAATGCAAATTCGCATGTGGAAAAATTTGTACATTATAATTTAACTTTTGTGTACGTCATTAAAAGGTAGCCGACTCACGCTATAGTGTTAAGAATATGAGTGATACCAAGTTTTAAATTGTTCTGAATGTAACCTAGATTGTGTAAATATTATACAATATACAGGAGTGTCCTCGTTTATTTGCTGTTGTGCATGAGACTATCTAAAGAATACATTAAACAACAATTATCTTCATTTAAACTGCTAAGTGCCTTCCGCTAGAATAAACACTGAAATAAAAAAACGAAAAAATGTCTTTTAAATTGCGAAGAATTACTGTTTCACTATACGCACGCCATTCTCTTTTGAACGGAATTAAAGAACATTGAAAGTATATTTTTGTATTACATATACTTTGTATTAATATTGTCCAATGATGTCCGAGCTCGTAACCATGTTTTGTTTTGAGGAACGAGTAAGATTTCTAAGATTCCTACTCCTGAAAAGGGGAAAATTGCATTTTGCTCTACTCTAAATTTCAATCATATTTATAGTATGCCCCCCCCCCTTCCCCTTAGCTCACTTAAGCTTTTCAATGATACAAAATGCGTGTTACGTGAATTAACTATGCCATTTTTACAATGTATATATGACAGTGTAAATCGGCGTTAAAGCCTTCATATGTTGTAATTCATGGGCGATGTTCAGCGATCCATTGTCAGTGACCAATGAAGTAAATATTTTTTCAAGTCAACGACGAGAACACAAATTACACAATTAGAGGCATTTTCCCGCTTGCCTTTTAACTGCCTTTCAAAACAGTTGATTACTCCATGGACGAAAGCGACAGATTCGAGTGAAATCGTTTTCGTGAAGGAACATATTATTAATGACTTTGTGCGAAGTTAAACTCATTTTTTGTCCACCGTCGAAAATCGAAATAATTAAATGTGTAATTTAAGCGGTTATTCTTCTAAAACAACAATTAAATTACGATAGTTTGATAATAAAAAAATTTACCCGCGTTTTCAACAATTATCCGCGCGAATTTACCCGCGTTTTCTGCCATTATCTGCGCGAATTTACCCGCGTTTTCTACCATTATCCGCAAGAATCTATCCGCATCCGCCCATCCGTTTTCTACCATACCCTGAATATGGTGAAATTGAAGCATAAATTGGAGTAAGGTGTAACTGAAAAGCAGAGCTAATCATAACTTTTTATGATGTTATTTATTTAAAAATATAGAAGTAATAACTAAAAATAGACATGTGTCTGCATTTTCCGTTTCTTCTAAAGATTAGATCCAAGTGCCAGTGCAACGTGCGAACCCCCCGAATTCATGCGTGCTGTCAACCACGTGACCAAACGTCACAATCAAAGGAGAAAGGAACACTGGAACACACACACAAGCCAAGCCATACAACCATCCAAAGCGTTAATCAGCTTGAATGTGAGAGATTTTATGTATTTATCAGTGCGCCCTGTACATTCTTATCATATCAAATGTCCAAGTGCCACACAACTCATCTCATCGTCGTCATGAACATTCTTACAATGCAGGAAGTAAGTATAGTTAAAAATACGTAGGTATATTATCCGCGCCAATCACTTTCGGTTATTAGGAACCTATACGCCTACAATACTCTGTGGGGTTTCAATATGGTTGAACATGATTTGCTCCAAAATAAATTTGGAGTTGGAACACAGGTAATAATATAGGCAAAAATGTTCTCGTGTTTACCATACTTACCCTTGACGGGCGACGATGAGATGAGTTGTGTGGCACTTGGACATTTGATATGTTAAGAATGAACATTCGCATGATCATCATGAAGAAATTGTGGATATGGCTAATTCCAGGAATGCAGATGCATTTCATACAATGAAAGGCTTGATGATTAATTATTTTCCTTGTTAGGCAGTGTAAGTCCTAATTGTCGTCTTGATTTTATTCCACGATGAATGCAAAAGTTTAAATCTACTGACCCACATTCCTTTCAATATTAATTGAATAGAGTAAATTAAGTTACTTACAATTAATATTATATATCCTCCCGTCATTTATACTCTATTTTAATTTAGGGGAATCTACAGGGTGTCTAAAAAAACGCAACCACTTAAATATGCAAGAATATTAATATTGTTCAAGTTTGCCTCATAGTTCGGCTAAAATGACTTTTAGCATTTTAAATGAAGGATTAAAAGCCATTTTCAATGACCAGAGGTGCTTATCCATTGCGCTTTAGAGCTGCATTAATGTTCTTGCATATTTAAGTGGTTGCGTTTTTTTTGAGACACCCTGTATATAACCTTCCTGCATAGATTTTTTATATATACAAATGTACGTGGTTTGGATAGAATGAACTACAACTGGGGCCGGTTGTATGAAAGCCATGCAGATATAGCGCAATCCACCGGATAGTGATTTTTTTCATTCGCTTTAAATTCTCCCCTTGTTTGCTATAACTTTGAATAAATCTTAGTATCCCTAAATCAAGAATCCTCTTTAATAATTGCAGGTCCCAAAGATGAAATTTTATCGCTTTTCGAGCATTTTTAGAATGGTTAAAAAAATAAGTATCCGGTGGATAGCGCTATCCGGCTTTTATACAACTGGCCCCTGATGTATATCATGAACAGTCAGGATTCGGGAATATAAGTGCATTATTAATAATATGCATGAAAACTCAACCCGATGCACATACATGCATGCTTATGTAAAAGAAATCACTGAAATCAATATGGTATGCTTCTTATACATTTACAGATTTCAGCTCTTAATTAAAAATGTATTATATTAAAAATAAAAACAACATTTACAATTTGACCTACACACGTTCCAATTCTTCTTTCTGCATAAATTTGATTCGGTAATTTTCGCGAACGTTCGGAATAAAGTGGGGTCTGATGTTTATCATTTATAAAAGCCGGTAAATCGACATGCAGGATGTCATCATGCCACCCATGTTGAAAATGTTTTGCTGAAGCCTGGTTATTTAAAAAATAAGTATGGTTAAAAATACGTATAGGTATATTATCCGCGCCAATTACTTTCGGTTTCGGTTAATTATACAATACTCTGTTGGGTTTCAATATGGTTGAACATGAATAAATTTGGAGTTGGAACACAGGTAACAATATAGGCAAAAATGTTCTCCGTGTTTACCATACTTACCCTTGACGGGCAACGATGAGATGAGTTGTGTGGCACTTGGACATTTGATATGTTAAGATTTAAGAATGAACATTCGCACTGATGTATATCATAATCATGAAGAAATTGCGGATATGGCTAAATCCAGGAATGCAGATGCATTTCATACAATGAAAGGCTTGATGATTAATTATTTTCTTTGTTAGGTAGTGTAAGTCCTAATTGTCGTCTTGATTTTATTGCACGATGAATGCAAAATTTTAAATCTATACTGACCCACATTCCTTTCAATATTAATTGAATAGAGTAAATTAAGTTACTTACAATTAATATTATATATCCTCCCGTCATTTATACTCTATTTTAATTTAGGGGAATCTATACAGGGTGTCTAAAAAAAACGCAACCACTTAAATATGCAAGAATATTAATATGGTTCAAGTTTGCCTCATAGTTCGGCTAAAATGACTTTTAGCATTTTAAATGAAGGATTAAGAGCCATTTTCAATGACCAGAGGTGCTTATCTATTGCGCTTTAGAGCTGCATTAATGTTCTTGCATATTTAAGTGGTTGCGTTTTTTTTGAGACACCCTGTATATAACCTTCCTGCATAGATTTTTTATATATACAAATGTACGTGGTTTGGATAGAATGAACTACAACTGGGGCCGGTTGTATGAAAGCCGGATAGCGCAATCCACCTGATAGTGGTTTTTTTCATTCGCTTTAAATTCGCCCCTTGTTTGCTATAACTTTGAATAAATCTTAGTATCCCTAAATCAAGAATCCTCTTTAATAATTGCAGGTCCCAAAGATGAAATTTTATCGCTTTTCGAGCATTTTTAGAATGGTTAAAAAAATAACTATTCGGTGGATAGCGCTATCCGGCTTTCATACAACTAGCCCCTGATGTATATCATGAACAGTCAGGATTCGGGAATATAAGTTGCATTATTAATAATATACATGAAAACTCAACCCGATGCACATGCATGCATGCTTATGTAAAAGAAATCACTGAAATCAATATGGTATTTATACAGAATTTTCAGCTCTTAATTAAAAATGTATTATATTAAAAATAAAAGCAACATTTACAATTTAACCTACACACGTTCCAATTCTTCTTTCTGCATAAATTTGATTCGGTAATTTTCGCGAACGTTCGGAATAAAGTGGGGTCTGATGTTTATCATTTATAAAAGCCGGTAAATTGACAGGATATCATCATGCCACCCATGTTGAAAATATGTTGCTGAAGCCTGGTTATTTAACAAATAACTATAGTTAATATTACTTAATAATACGTAGGTATATTATCCGCGCTAATTACTTTCGGTTATTAGGCGTACAATACTCTGTGGGGTTTCAATATGGTTGAACATGATTTGCTCCAAAATAAATTTGGAGTTGGAACACAGGTAATAATATAGGCAAAAATGTTCTCGTGTTTACCATACTTACCCTTGACGGGCGCCGATGAGATGAGTTGTGTGGCACTTGGACATTTGATATGTTAAGAATGAACATTTGCACTGATGTACTGATATCATAATCATGAAGAAATTGCGGATATGGCTGATTCCAGGAATGCAGATGCATTTCATACAATGAAAGGCTTGATGATTAATTATTTTCCTTGTTAGGTAGTGTAAGTCCTATTGTCGACTTGATTTTATTGCACGATGAATGCAAAAGTTTAAATCTACTGACCCACATTCCTTTCAATATTAATTGAATAGAGTAAAGTTACTTACAATTAATATTATATATCCTCCCGTCATTTATACTCTATTTACTCCGGCGTCAGCGACGGAGTTGAAAATTCGCCTCGGTTTTGTTTTGTTTTTGTTTTTTTTTTTTATTATTTTTCGTCGTCGCAAGTCTGAAATGGCGCGAACCATTCTAGTATTTGAAATGTGTATGTAACCGTATTTATCTACGTCCCAGTCTTATCTTCTAAGAGTTGTGGTGTACAGCTTTGGCTAATTTTCCGATGCGCGATTCGATTTCGCTCGCATGATACGGCAATTCCTCCAAGAGGAACAAATAAACCGTTGTTTTCATGCTGTTCGATTAAGTTTAGATTGAATTGGGGTATACGTAAGAATATATTTAATACATGTAGATTCTGTTCCTATTTTAATAATATCGCTGCTATTTCGCCGTTTAATAAGATGATGTAGTCGTGTATGGGCGCGTTGACACGTCGTAGTTTGCACAGGATTGAAGATTTAATATAACTGTATAAGCGCCTATTCCAAAAGCAAAGTGTAAGACAAAGCGAATGTATCATGCGGTTTATTTACATTTTTGAACAATTGAACTTCTACACTTTTTAAAGTACGATGTGCTTCTAAATTTCGCAATCGAACATTTATAGGTTCGCAACTCGCAAGGCATCTAAATGCGAATATGAACTGTATTGTTTATGTTCAGAAGCTCTATATTAAAGACTGGCACGTGCGCCGGAGTTAACGCCAGATCAGGCGTCTTGTTTAATTTAGGGGAATCTACAGTATATAACCTTCCTGCATAGATTTTTTATATATACAAATGTACATGGTTTGGATAGAATGAACTACAACTGGGGCCGGTTGTATGAAAGCCAGATAGCGCAATCCACCGGATAGTGTTTTTTTCAATCGCTTTAAATTCGCCCCTTGTTTGCTATAACTTTGAATAAATCTTAGTATCCCTAAATCAAGGACCTCTTTAATAATTGCAGGTCCCAAAGATGAAATTTTATCGCTTTTCGAGCATTTTTAGAACGGTTAAAAATATCACTATCCGGCTTTCATACAACTGGCCCCTGATGAACAGTCAGGATTCGGGAATATAAGTTGCATTATTAATAATATACATGAAAACTCAACCCGATGCACATGCATGCATGCTTATGTAAATGAAATCACTGAAATCAATATGGTATGCTTCTTATACATTTACAGAATTTTCAGCTCTTAATTAAAAATGTATTATATTAAAAATAAAAACAACATTTACAATTTGACCTACACACGTTCTAATTCTTCTTTCTGCATAAATTTGATTCGGTAATTCTCGCGAACGTTCGGAATAAAGTGGGGTCTGATGTTTATCATTTATAAAAGCCGGTAAATTGACATGCAGGATGTCATCATGCCACCCATGTTGAAAATATTTTGCTGAAGCCTGGCTATTTAACAAAACGACCAAACTACATTCTATAAATTTATTGTATAAATTTATTTACTGTTAAAAGAGGAACAGACCTGAATTTCATCTTATATGCATGCTACAGTATATATATGATTTTGATTAAATTAATTACAAAAGCAATTGGGGACGATGATTTTTTCACAGCGAAATAGTTTGAATGTTTTGTACACTGAAGCATGGCTTCAGCAAAATATTTTCATCATGTGTGGCAGAAACATCCTGTCAATTTTCAGGCTTTTAAACACTAAACATCAGAACCTCACTTTATTCAGCCATTAAACGTTGGAGAGGAACAATCGCGAAAACGATTCAAATTTAAACCTGCAAGAAAAAGATAAGGAAACGTTTGGTAAGATTCTATGTGGTAAAATTATTATTAATGTAGTTTAGAATTTAGTTATGCATGCATACGCATCGAGTTGAGTTTTCATTAACCGCGCAATTTATATTCATTCATGATATATATAGTTAACTCTCGCCAAACCACAATGGCATAGGCAAGTTAAAATTTTCTGGGAGATTTGACCATGCATAACATCCGAACTGTTATTTATACAGGAAGGTTAATATAGAGATTTCCCTAAATGAGAATAGAGTATATAAGGATTTAAATCACCGGGGAATGATTATAATACCGAGAGAAACTTCAATAAAAGATTAGTACAGAGGAATGTTTCAATGTCGGTCAGTAGAACTAAAAAACTGTTTTCAGAAATATTTCCGCAATATTAACAACAATGATTTTGCGTATCTTTTAACTTTATATTCATAGCAGAAGTCGCTATCATGTATTCAGTAAACATTTTCATATTCAGTTCGGTGGCGTTGATGTGCTTTTCCACGATGAACGCCAAGGTGAGCAAAGGCATGTATATATATGACTTGAAGACTGAGAAGAGATAATTGAGCTAAGAAAAAGCAGCTGCTCAGTCAAAGTTAACACTGGATAACAATATATGAATAGTTTTTAAAGGCATAGACTGGAATAAAATCATATCTATAAATCTAAAATATATAGTAGAAGGCCATGCATGCATGCAAATGCAGGCCTTTAGTGTTGAACTGCATGATGAATCGTATTTTTTAGTACCTATAAAAGTAGCGTTAATCTTGTTTATTTAGCTCAGTAAACGTAGCCCAGACCTGCCATGCAACGAAGAAAATTTCGGCCAACGAAAATTGATTAAAGACGAGGATGGCAGGGAAAATTTCTTCATTTGCGCTAAACGAAATGGTGTTTATATGTTAAAGAAGGAAACAACGGAAGCTAAGGGTATGAATTTCTGTTTTGATTGGTGACCTGTATGTTCTAACGCATCTCTAATTGGAATTTGCCGAGGAAACTGGAATGTAGCTATAATAAATAATATTTTATTGCATGTGATCTAAAAGAAACCTTTATTGCAAACGCATGCAGACCTTTTGAATTGAAGGAAATTCTCATTTAGGATTATTTATATTATATATTATCATTTTTCAATTTAACCTAATGCAAAAGCTATAACTTTTTTCAATCCCGAATAATACCGGTATCCAAAATCCTCAAAAAAGTCGGCATGCATATTAATTAATAAAGATTATGTTTTCCAACTATATAGTTCGTGATGATAATGACAATTATGACATGATGGATGATATCTTATTAAAGAGGGAAGATGCTTCTAAATTCTTCGAACGTAATCGCCGTGGTTTGAATCATGAATGTTATGCTGAATGCTGTAACTGGGAGGAAGTTCGTGAACACTACGAACACGACATAGCCGCTGCAGTACGTGCTCACGATTATAAAATCCAACTCGAAATCCAACCCCTGCGTGGTCCTTTTTTAGTTAACATAAACGGTGAAATATGGATGAATACCAATATTAATAACCGGCTATTCTTATATATTGTAGCAAAATTACTGGAATAAATATAATCATTGGAAGAGCAGTAATGGCCATTGCTAGTAACTCGGTGAGGCAATATTTTGTTAGCAATTGTCCCTATAGTATGTAAAGTAAACTATAATAAATGAATATACACCCCCAATTAAGTATCTAGTTACGACCAGCGAAGACAGCAAAGGTGCATAGGGTATCAGGCTTTTTGCGGGCCAACAGGGAAAATCGGGGTAAGGGGGGAGTCCTGTATCAATTTGAATTACTCGAGTTGGGCAATTAAAGTTATATGTATAATTTTCATATAACATGATAGATAATTTGCTTGAAAACGCATTTTAACTATAATAACATTTTAGATTTTTAATATATAACTTTATCATTTTTGCAGTTACAAAAGCCCATGCAGACTTAGAACTGAATGCGTTTGTATAATTTATGCCTCTTTAGAAGAAATCTTGGTCATGGTGAAACTACAGCCCGAGTGAAAGATGAAAAGAAAACATTTAATGTTGTTACTTAACTTACTTTAGTCATTAAAAATGTAACTCTATAAAAGTGTAATTCTAAATTGTGCATGCAGGGTAGTATTAGAAATGATAATTGATTAAATAAACGTTAGTATATTAAATAATAAGTTAACTAGCTAAAATAAAACTCATTAATTCACCATTACCTGCAAGTAATTGATGAATTTCATTCAGAAAGTGAAACTGGAAAGTGAAAAGGACAGTAAAGTAAGTCTACTAGCCCAGAGATCAGGCACAACACTCTTATAAAAGCTCTCTTCCATTATCGTTTCCAGAGCTTGGGACATCACAACCAAACCTTCCAACGCGCCTTCAAGCCTTCAATATCTCATTTAAATAACTGCAAATGGCAGTCAATAGTTATATGGCAAGCGTCACTTCCGCTGAAATGGAGCTCAGTGATTGGCTGAGAAGAATTTTCAGCGGTCCATTACTTTCCCGTAATGCATCCAGGATACTGGTCTAGATATATTGAATATTCGGACCATGGTCCGGATATATATATATATGGGTTTTTACGGCGTTACCGGCGATCCATTACGAGATGAAAAACAGAGAAATTCTGAATGAAAAAGGCACAAGTAAATGCTCAAGAGAAAATCTAATTGATTTTGAAAGAAATGTGTAAGAAATGTCCAAAATCATCATCCGCCATTAAAATCCGCCATCTTTATTTCATCTTTTTGAGATGGCTCGTGACGTAATAATTCAATATTTTTTTTGTTTTTATCAAATGTGTACTAGGCTACTAATACGAATTTATGCATTTCTTGTTCGTTTCAAGTGCAAATACATGCCTTATGCCATATAATAAACTTTTTATTAACCTCGCTTGCTCGGTCTTTACCAAGAAATATCGGACCTCGATCTTTTTGTACAAGCCTCCCTCTTCAAGCTCGGTCTGTACAACTGAAAGACCTCGACCCGATATTTCTCGGTAAAGACCTCGTGCTCGGTTAATAAGAAGTTAGTATCGTGAATTATTTCCTGAGACAAAACTTTGTCCATGGATTCTTCGTACACCGGATATTTCTCCATGACTGGTAGAATTGGTATAGATGAGCTGGGACTTATTATCAAAATATTAACGAAAGAAGCTCCCTTAAAAAGCGTTTTGATAAAAATCGATGCAAAGGATCAAATTTGGTCCAAAATATAAAAATGCTTGTAATAAAGCTAATGAACTTATAAAAAAGTCCAAACGTGATTTTTTCACGATGTGGATTCCCAAAGCTTAAAACGATCCTAATGAATTAACCTGGTGACAGGCGAATCAGTTTTTAATGAATTTTTCACTCGTAAAATCACAAATAATACAAATGTGAAACGAACTTAGATCACGGATAGATATGACGAAAAGTTGCATAATCAATACATTACCGATGACGCCAATTAGGCTAATTGTACTTAGGCACGCTAATTTAACCACGATAAGGAAGTCTCCAATGTTAGCGATGCTGCTCTCTTGTAGGAAGCATTTGTGGGAAAGCTTTGGTTCCCATTGTGCTGTTATCCATGACGACTTTTTATTTATATTTATCAAATAATAGCAGCCTCAGCTAGATGCAGTAAATTTAAGGCTGTTTTCCACTTACACGTTTTTCATACGCACGTACACGCACGTAAAAGTCTAAATCCTTATAGAGAGAAGAGGGAGGGAGTTAGAGAGGGTAACAAAAGTTCACGGATGAACCCGCTGACATCAGCTGGTAAACAATAGAATAATAGCACGCGGGCCCGTGGCGGTTAAATTGAAAGATATCCACAATCGTCAATCGACATTAATAATATAGCAGCTGCCCAAACATGTTAGTTGTTTCTAATAAAACTCTTTAAAAAAATGGAGGTAGTATTTTAAAATGTACCATTGACCAGGATATAAAGAAGAGATGTACTTACACAAGGAACCGATCTTCAAGTCTTCAGTTAACGTTCTGCAAGATTCGTCAAGAAGTACAGAGTGCGAAGGTTAGATATGTAGATTACTTGCTAGTATCGTCGATAAAGCCATAAAGGTTAATCTATTCCAAGCAATTCTAAGCCGATTTCAGGACCTTATAAATTAATATAACTTTATTCTCTGGCAGATAAGGCCCCTGAACGATTGAGGCAGCATACTTGTGCCGGCAAGGAGCTAGGGCAACTCCAACCCTTTAATTGCTACGATATAGCTGTATCATGCATATGTTCTAGTGTTCAAAACTGTGTTATTATTTGTGCTCTTTCATATTGAAAATTCATTTTCTAGCAGGTAGAATGAATATGTTTAGGCAATATTAACTGATTATTGACCATGTGTGAGGTCTGTACAGGGAAATATCAGACCAAGGCTTGCAAGAAACCTCGGTCTGATATTTCACAGTACAGATCGAACAAACAAGGTCAATAATCTGTTTATTATATGGTTGAACAGCATGAGGCATCCAGGATACTGGTCCAGATATATTGAATATTCGGACCATGGTCCGGATATATATATGGGTTTTTACAGACCACTTGTCAACCAATCAGAATAGAGGATTCAATGAATTGTATATATTCCATATAATAAATTGTGTTATTAATTGATAAGTTACATGTCTCAAAAGTCTCCTTAATTGATTTTTCTAGTAGTCTGTTTAATTTGAACAGATCTTGATTGAAACACATGTGTCACTGATAAATATTATTAGGCTCTTATTTATTTCTATTGAAATTTCTGGGGGTCAGAGAGGGTAACACTCTGGTGTGAAATATGCCTTTGTGCTATATTAAATTAACATAGTATGGAAATACTATCATAGTATTAAAGTATTGATATTTGTGAATACTGCAAGTAAGAAAATAGGTTTTGGCAGCTAGTGTTAAAACTCTGTCAGACCAGTTTTCCTTCTAGAACTTATTTATCAGTTCCAAGAGAACCAGCATGAGGCTTGGTATAAAGCTAATTCAGCCCATTGTAATGTTTTCATACAAGGGATAGCATTCTCCCTAAAAAATTAGTATTATAGGAACATATTTTAGGAATTAATTAAGACAGTGTGGTCCAGCAAATGTGTTCTAGAGATATAAGTTAGTTCTTAGATTCCCATGTTTCTATTATAGCTATTCATAGAAATACAACAGAAAACAATTTACTGATCAGAATAAATATTTGTTGTCAATGTAAATGATGCACAATATGCACAGAAAGAACAATATAAACATTTTGATTTTTGACAGGACATGACTGACAATTTAAGAGCTATTTATAACTATAACTTGAAAGTCATCTTGGAGGTTTGGAACTAATATTTTTTTTATCTTGTAGCTTTCTGGCTTCAAAATTGTGTCACTGAATAGGCCTTAGTACACCCATGCATTAGTTAGTGCATTAAGCTGTGAACACTGATGACATAACATGGAAATGAGGCTGATAAGTCCTATTCATTCAACCTCAGTAGCCAGTTTAAAGTGTGCATATATGAGTACTGTTCCTTTGACAATTGTATATTTATGTTCACATTCTATAAAACAATTGCTCAAAAAATCGAATCTATGAGCATTCAATGCTGGGCCCACAACCACAAATATGATTCATGCAAAAGCTGTAGTACGTTTGGCCTGCTGCTTTTGATTGAGCATGACGTACATGCCACCGAAGTCCAACATGGATGATCTAAGATTTGTCAAATTATTAAGGTAAAATTGGGAAGGATAATTTACAAGATTTCCTTTTATCTGCTTAAGAATTTTCCTAGCCTTATCTGTTGCTTCACGAGGGACAGGGAATCCTTCATAACGATTTAATGCTTCAGAATTTTCTACTTCGTCTTTTGAAAACACAGCTGGACCAAACACTATTAGAAAACCAGCTGTATTCAATTCTGCCCGTTGCTTTACACCTGTAATAAAGCCTGGTGCCAGTGGATCGTTAATGGTGAAATGAAATAAATCGTCTCTGTTGTTGACCAAACCTAAATGCTCTTCAAGCAGATCACACCTCAAGCTATGAGCAAACTTTCCCATCCTGTAGTGAGCACCATTCATCTTACCACTAGTAAATTCCAAATCTTCTATCATGACTGCGACTTCGGAGTCGCGATCACCCAGCATGCTGCGATCATTAATATTGGCAGATCCAATGATTGCCAAACGATCATCGACAATCATCATCTTACTGTGTACATACACGAGCTCAGTCACGAAATAACGTCCAATCAAATCATACGTACGTAAGCTGAACACGGAAAAATACTTCTTCGCAGTTTCTTCTGAAATGTTTTCCTTCTTAAGTTTTCCCAATAACGAATCGTCCCCGTGGTAAATAGAAGCGAAAGTCCAAAATGCTATCGATCGTAAAGCATCGCTATTCCAATCATTTCCGTCCAATGTACCGGGAAACGCGGGTTTGAAAGGGATGATAAGCATGACATGAAAATCTTCATTAGCTTTGTGTGCTCGTACAATTCTTTCCACGAGCGCAGCCTGGAGCGGATTTTCAACGTATCGGAAAAAACCTGTTTGTGAGGAAATAAAAAACTGATTCTCAATATAAATAAAGTGTTTAGAATTGTTAATGGCGTCTATATAAGCGTTTAATATCGAGGTCTCTGGTTTTTGACCGATTGACCATTCAGCCACAGATCTCAGAAATTGAACGGTCACGTTATAACCGCGTCTAGAATTGAACACGTTTTCTTCTGCTTTGCTTTTGTATCTTGGAAATATCTTGTTTATCAGCCTAGTGTTTAAGAAGTTGTGAGAAAACGAGTCCCAATACGTCTGCCACCAACGATGAGTCAGAAAATTGTATCTGTCATTGAAATGCTTGACAGCGTCTTGTACAGCATCCCCAGTGAATGCACAGCCCACGTCATGCCAAGGCATGCGAGGAATTTCATTTCTCTCAACTCCATCGTAACCCTCTAAAGGTTTATCCCAGTCTATGTGCTTTCCCTTTGTGAAAAACGTATTTACATAATCTTTGCCAATCCAACGAGCAAATTTCCCGAGAGGATTTTCATCTGGCGCCCTGGTGGCGTGAGTGGCGTCTACAGCAGAATGGACGGGAAAATCATCCATCAATTCATGGTCACGTGTATCCCAACGACCATAAGCGAGATCAATTCCGCCGACAAATGTAATACTTTGATCAACAATCACCATCTTTTCATGATGACTCCAAAAAAAAAGCTTCTTTTCAGGATGACGATGAACCGAGATGTATTCATGATTTTTCAACAGTTTTAAAACACGTTCACTTCCGATGTCGAATATTTGTTTCGGTTCCCAGTATAACAAAATGTAGACACTAACACCTTCGTCAGCTTTTCTCATAAGCATCTTATCCAGTCGCCAGTATAGATCATCGACTCCGGTATCTGGTCGTTTCATAAAGATTTCAGGACTCATTTGCCAGTCCATGATCAGGATTTCTGCCTCAGCCGCCTCAATAGCATCGGCTACGGCTGCCATGTAGTCCTTGCCATCAACATACCACACAGCTTGACCACTCTCACGAACTGGAGCAAATGAGTCGTAGCGGTAGGTCTGGGTTCCCTTTAATCCCGAAAAATAGTTATAAGCGATCGCTATTACCAGCATTGATACATAGAATTTTATGTTTTTCAAGGTCATGTTTAATTTGACACACTTCGCAACAAATTATACCCTACGACTGTTATTGTTTTATAATAAACACAATAATATGTAAATACCATGTCATTCTATACCAATTTAAAATGCCGAAGACGATGCGGGTTTTCCCCAGTTTTTTCCTTGTTGGCCATAATTATTTGAAGCAGTATTATTAAGTAATTGTATTGGATGCATGAGACTAAGCCAGTGCACTCAAATAACGCTCGCATCCCAGTCTTATTTGAGTCCACTGGGCTAAGCATGTTAAGCACAGTTCACTGGTTAAGCATATTTAACTGGTATTCAGCGAACTTGAATCGTATATCGATCGTAAAGCATTTAAGCATCGCTATTCCAATCATTTCCATGACACTAAAATCGGGTGGGAGGAATCGTTATTAAAGTGAAAAGTTTCATGTATTAAATCTGGAGCTTACCAAACCTTTTTGACGAAAATATTTGCCCAGGCGATCTGAACGGAAAGGACTAGAACTAGTTGTCAAATAAAAAATCCATTTCTCGATTAAAACAACTTACTTAATAAATATACTTTATTTTGTTTTCAAATTTATGTCAGAGCTATCGTTCTCATAAAGATATGATTTCTATTTAGACATCCCTTTCAACGTAGTCGAGATCATCTGGCCTCAGAGAAACATATCAATGCCTGTTGATAGATTTAACGCATATATTATAATTAATAATTACAGTAATTTTAGGGTTTTAAATGAGTTGCCGGTTGTATCAAGCCCGTTTAGCTTAACCGGTGGATACGTCAAAATTAGATAACACTCTTCCATCTGTCTGGAGCGAGTCAACTTGAATATTATGCACTGAATATGTAGTTGTAAACAGTATCTTTGTATTAAGGTTAAAAAAACATTTAGTTCGCTTGTTGAATAAAACGATAGACTTGCTTTCTATTTTGAGCTTAACGGTTTAAGCTAAACGGGCTTGATACAACCGACCTCTGTACTTGTAAGAGGACCGCCATACTTTTTGAACTAATACGTTTTTTATGAACTAATAATCCGTTGTCCTCATTCAATGTTCCTCATTCAAGTTCCTTATACTAACTGACCAAAGTTATTGCCTAAAATGAATTCGTATGTTGAAAAAGAACTAACGTTTTGCAATTGATTCTATTACATGTTCAGATTGAATGTAATGACATTAGTTTAACCGTATCCAGTCCTATCATTTATTTCGAATATTAATATGCATGCTTTGAGTTAAAAGCGGCAAGTAGTAACTTGTTTTCCATGAGACATAATAAATTATCTTACAATACTAACCATCAGGGGCCGGTTGTACGAAGACTTGATATCTATCGGGCACTGTATGGATAGTAGTTTTCTTTTTAAAAAGAAACATTACTTCAAGAATAGGAAGGTTTAATTTAAACACGGGCAATTTTAGAGCGATTGAAAAACCCGAGATCCGGTGGATAGCGCTATTTCGACCTCTGTACAACTGCATGGCCCAAGGTCTGTCAATCTGTTTCAAACTACTAGCAATTTCAAACTGCTCTACAAAGGTGCTTAAAATTTATATTACTTAACAATTTATATATAGTGCATGATACATATGTATATATATATATATGATATAAATTATCCTAGCTTGCAACCGTCACACGTTAGTTTCATAAACCACAGTTGCTTTCAACTCTTTGTTCTTCACCCTGCGCGCCACTCGTCTCCACTGGTTAACACCCGCTGTTGAACTTTTGCTTCCGCGTCGTTTAAACGAACTAGTGAATGAAAACCTCAACGCGTAAGAACCATTTCTTGGCTTGGAGCGCAGGAAGAACGCCTGGATGCATTGCATGTCACAACTGCCAAATATAAAGGGATTTAACATACTGTTCGAGTACACGAGAATGTTTGCGAAGGTATTAAAATGTTCCTCGTTTTCGAATTCTGATTCACCCCAAGATTTGTACAGCCAGTACGTATCACCAGGCAGCATGCAAATGACAAACATTACCACAGCAAAGATGAAGACTTTTATGATACGTGTGTTGCGTTTGAGGCGGTTTTGTTGTGCATCAAAGCTTACGCTGTTCTTTCGCCGTTGACATGCGCCGAACTTCAGTGTACTTTTGTACAGCTTGATTCCCACACGCGTATAACAGTAGGTAATTATGGATAAGGGTATGCAGTAATCGATGATGAACAAGGCTAGCGTATAATAATCCGGGTCCCTCAGCCGTGGCCATACTTCATCGCAAATGCCATCTTCATATTTCAAGGCTTTTATGTATGGCGAAACCACAGCTAACCCAAGCAGCCAAATGATAACAATACTTTTCACTATGTGCTGTTTTTTCAGTTTGGGTTTGAGCGGCGTGATTATTGCCCGGTACCTTTCCAATGCCATTGCTGTTAGGGTCATCGAGGAGACCAGTACAAGTAAAGTCTGGGATGGCCAGATGATTTTGCAAAGCATGGGACCATAGGGGAATATTATATGAAGTTCGTTATAAATATCGAGTGGGATACCGACTCCACAAACGAGTAAATCTGTGATGGCTAGATTCAATATAAACATCTCACTGGATTTCCGACGGTGACCCATTAACGTTGCACAGATCAGTACATTACCGATGACGCCAATTAGGCTAATTGTACCTAGACACGCTAATTTTACCACGATAAGGGAGTCTCCAATGTTAGCGGTGCTGTTTTCTCGTAGTGAAGCATTTGTGGGAAAGCTTTGGTTTCCCAATGTGTTGTCATCCATGACGACTTTTTATTTATATTTATCTGGTTCGATTTGTTGCCCAACACCTATAACAATAAGGTAAAAGAATAGATGAGTTTTGCGTCCGAGGCCGGAATAGATTTCCAATTTTGAAGAGTGCTTTAAACAGTAGTATAAGTATAAGTGTGTAGCTATAAACAAACCCTATAAACCTTTTAAACGCTTTTCTAAGTAGACTTAGTCACCGCTGAGCTATACTTTATACTTAAAATCCTTGATGCCATGCAATTATGGTCCTGCAGAATCAGTAGTTTATTTCAATTTCAATTACATATAACTGCATGTGACTGCAGGAACTTCGATAGTTTGGGAACTTTTTGGCAATTTGTGCTATGAGTTTCGTTCCATATCATTTTTTATGACCTTTACTGAATATTGAAATTAAAGAGGTCCACTTAAATAAGTTCGTCAATTTTTATCCGCTTTGTCAGATTATCAATTCTAAGGCTTCCTTTACGCGGTACTTGATCCGCTTGTCCCGCCATCTTCCGTTGCCGTTATATGGAGCAATGATCAGCAGTAAATGCTTATCAATTTGATAGATTTGGTATATTTATTCAGGTTCCCGATGTTAAAAATCTTCTCTCCTTTCTACCACGTACAGAATTTGACCGGTTCCGCGATAGCAATTCAGTATCGTGTAAACGGGATCGTACATAAGACGTCAACCGAGACTACCGGCCTGAATTTTTTCGAAAAAGGTATCAAGCTAATTATTCTTAAGAAATTAGAGATATCGGTTAGCCACTTCGGGCAATTGATTACCAGAGAAGAAAAACGTAATTCAAACAATTCATGGCGCTTCAAACGTTTTGACTTTTGAAAAAATAATTCATCGAAGTTGCTTGTGGTAGGCTAATACAGATCGAAGCGAACGCGGAACAAGGTTTGGACCAAGTTTTCCGAACGCGCAAAATCAGGCCATGCATGCATATGTATCTCACAATTAAGAAGGCGGTCCTGAAAATTTGGATTTTGGTCGCTGAACGCTGCTTCACAAAGCATTATAAGGCGGTCCTGAAAGTTTGGATTTTGGTCGCTGGACGCTGCTTCACAAAGACAAAGTGCTCACTATAAATGGTTGTTTTATGTATTATTTAAAAGTATTGCGAACAAAAAGATTGTATTTAAATTCTCGAAAGTTTTATTCGTCAAGTTTTTTATGCCTTAAATTTTTAAAATTATATGTATGACTGCTGTGCCAATACATATTTGACACATGCATATACATATAGGTTTCTACACATCATTTAGAAAATTTAAAACGCGGGTGAACGAATTGAGTAGTCTTGACCAAAGATTGCATGACGGTTACCTGTTCAAATTAGCTACAAACCTCAGTCCAAACTTTGTAAATTCCAATCACGCAAAAGTTGGCTCGAAATGCATTTCCCAATTACGATCAGGGTTTTCTCACTAGCTATCCCTTGGCTTGGGTGCTTATAACTCTGCTTTTAACTGTAAGACTCGTGCAAAAAACTGTTATAATAAGCTTTTTGAGAAAACTCCAAAAGCTTCTAAATTCCATTTTAGACTTCCTCGCTGCAGGCGTCTGCAATATGATCAATCATTGTATAAGAACATTCATTATTCATTGTAATCATGTTTTTGTACGTTTGCATGGGCAATACAATAAAATTGAATAAAATTTAATGCAAAATTTAAAAACGACGATGGATATAGTGTTCTTTTGGCGATATCTCTTTTTCATTTTCCAGATATGAAATGGAGTATATATATTTTGTGAAATTGACATATTTTTCTTCCAAAGACTTAATTATTTCCTAATTTTCGCCGGTCGAAATTAGCATGCAGCCCTGCAGTTAATTCATTGGAAAACACGAAAATGAATACAAATTGTTCAATTCAGATGTCGTGAAGTTTCGCAGTGACATCCCTGCTGTTGAAATCTTAAATAAACGGCTAGCATCTGCATACAAACGTTCCTATTGCTGATGTCCCTATTATTGATGCCCCTAAGCTAGCTTGTTTTCATCTCGGTGTAAAATTTCTGACAGCGAATGATTGAAGTAAGCTGATAAGAGAAGCTCGCAACTGAGCAGCTGTACAAGACATTTTGATCAACATCAGTTGTTAGGAGATTAAACTTTTTTCCTGTTGTGATATCGTCGTTCTGAAATGAAATTTCTGTTTGGGTTTTCCAAAACAAATACCTCTCTAATTAAATAACAAGAATACTATTCTAACTAACTTTGTTTATTTTGTCCTCCCACCTTGATATTGAGAAACGGTCAGTTTTATTGATTCGGTGATTAACCATAATATGAGAAGAAACGTATAGCCTGCAAATCTAATTTTGCTAATATAATATTCGTGTTTATTCGACACTGCACGAAGAACAACGAAAAATCTTATTCGCGATGAGCTTGCGCTATTTCTAGTTTATTGCGTTTAATTAAACTACCGAGGAACGCGGAGATTGGTAGCGAACATTGTACATTTCAAGTGCTCAGAATAGTGACGACTTGACGATTCCTTATAATTATATGAGATTTTAAAAAAAATTTTACTATACAGTATTATACTATTTCATCAATCTATATTTGAGGGATTTTCTTATGTTTAGGCGGCTTAGAATTGTTTTTTCTGTAATAAGACAAAACACTTCTCGACGTTTCGAGCTGAGGGCATTCGTCAGGACAGTTAGTAGGGCAGAAGGCCCTCAGGTGGAAACGTCGAGAAGTGTTTTGTCTATTCTAGGCAGTTGTTATACCACATTTGATGCTAAGTTGTTTAAAGACGCTGCGACGCTGCTCCCTGGTTATATTGGAACTTAAATAAAACAAGCATTATATGGCATGCATTAAATATATAAAATTATGATATAGAATAATGTTTTAAACGAAAATTACTTCTATATAATTATATTAGTTTATATTTTTGAATTGTATCGCTTTAACGGTCGGCCAGACGTTTCTTCTTCAATGTATCATACTTTTATCAGTTTTACATTAATTTTGTCTATTACTCTAGGCTATGTCGTATACTATACAATGTTCATTATACATACTTCACTACAGCGCGGTTCGTGCGAAATCTTGTTTCGACACAAGTACAGCTGATAAATCACCCATGAACGACACTTGCCCCCCTTTGCCCGTATATAGATTAAGAATTAACAGGGAGCTTAAAACTATGTTAAAAAAAGAAACCAAACTTTCAGTTTAACATGTCTAATTACCTTTTCCCGTGTCCTATACTCGACGAAAGCTATACGACACACTTACAATACAGTCATTTTGCCATACAATTTTCTCTGCAATTAAAGCCTTCAAGAAGAATTGTATATTGACCAGTTCCAATCCAATCAAATTATAATTTACACCTCCCGCTCAGTTGTATATTGATTAAAAATTTATTGTTTTTTTTCTCGGTATATATATTTATTAAATATAAATGTCTCCCTCATTCGCTTTCAACTGCATGCATGCCTACTGTACTGAGTTACGTATAAATTTGGTTTTAATTGCTTGGGGTGTTTGATGGGATAAATAACGTTATCTGTAACAAAAATCAAATTTTATTTTCACATGATTTCATTAGAAATATAATTATGATTTCGCTTCCTATCACAGTTACCATGGAAGGATTACATGCGAAACTGAAAACACGTTTTTTTTCTCCATGTTACATAAGTGTGTAAAAAACCTGTCCTGTGTAACTACGTCACAAAACATGGAAGTGAGGTTGATGCGGCATGATTGCTTGGTCATTCAGCCTCGCTTTCATACAGCTGTTGCATTTGCACAATCGTGTTTTTATCCGTTATTGTATTTCATAGCCGCGCGATCACTATAGTACGATGGAGGTGATACATACAGTACTCCATTGCAAAACTAACTATGAATTAAGGAGTAAGTCGTCGTTGAAACTTCGTAGAATCAAACAATATCGTGGCTACTATCAAATACGGCGGAACTGACGAGGAATAAGATAACTGTATAATATATTAAATGTGTACAGGCTAAATTTGTTGGTTCAGAATTTGATTCTGATATGAACCATTTCAAACATGATAAATGCTTTATACTTATTTAATCATTTGTCACAACACAATCATTACGCACATACATCTACAATAACAGAGGACATAATGTGACTTGCATGATCATCCACAATTGGAATAGAAAACGGCTATCTCACTCAAGAGTACTTTCACGCGGAGTAAAGCGCCATACATCCCTTATAAGGTGCATGTTTTTTGGACTCTGCCAACACTGCGTGATTATACTAAATTTTATCTCTGAGACTGAGTAATCTTTATATATGTATTCATCATTGCAAATCTTGGGGATTCTGTAATAACTTATAGCAAAAAATCCTAACTACTTCACACACTACCTTATCAGTATCTATCATGCATGTAGGATTAAATCTATATTCCAGAAACTACAGAACTTCAAGACACGTACATGCTGCTGAGAGGCAATAGCGAAGGCTCTTGGTCTAAGGCTAAGCAATAATTACAATTTCTTTATACTATGAATTTTAAATTCGCTACTTTTAACAATATCATTTCACTCAATTTTAGTGGATTCTGATTGATTAATGATTTTATATATCATCTCAAGGCCCGAGGGAAAATATTGTAAGTCTGATTGCGTGCATGATTCCGTGTTCGTGAGGCCCGCTGCTGCATGCTGTAAACGTCATATAGAATGTTCTATATAGATTCTAGAACTACTAAAAACGATTATCTTTCTGATCTTTCGCTGTGCATAATATTAATGAAAATTACACTTGTTTTCAAGTACTAATGTAATTGGGCACTTGTGTTTGGCGAAATAAATATATATTTATAACACCGATCGTGATTCGGACTCGCGATAAAATATGTTTGGACTGACAATCGTGCCATTTTCAACTATACCTCTGATTCTCTTGTATATGAACGCTTATAAGTATGTTGGCGTAACAAATTTATTCGAAACGATCACGCGGAATTATATATATATGCCCTGTTTTATCCAACTGCATGGCACTTTAGTATTCGGATACAATATTG